GTGGCTGGGGGGGGGGGGGGGGTGTTTTCGGTGACGGGCCGGCTGGCGGGCGATTGCTTGCTTGGGGACAGGTTCGGGTGTGTGGGACTGTGGAGTTCATCTCACAGAAGCTGCAGCGGTTCATTCGCCGGGTTTTGGGGTTTCGGTGAGCTGGTTGGGTGGTGCCCGAGTGCGGGATGAACTGCCGCACGGGCATTGGATTGGATCGGAAATAACACCAATCGTCACTGCAGCAAAGTCGTCTTAAAAATCCGTGGACGGCTTCGATAGTTGGCGATAGTCAGCGTTCCAGACGTGTTCGATCGAGAAGGAACAATTCTCTCGGCATGACTCCTACCCGCGAACACAAGAGAGAATAAAAATTTTGTCGAAACCGAATGAAATGCCTCAGGGACCTGGGGACCCCGTCCTCCCCAACCCTTCTTTTAACAGTTTCACCCAATCGTTTCGTGGTCCTGTGGTCCTGTGCCATCAGCAGATTTCATCATGATCCATTATCGGCTGTGCTTGGATCTCACCGAGTGTTTGGCGTCGAACCACATCACTCGATCAACGAGTCCTAGCTTTAGGGACCATCTGATATACACACTACGAGATCTCGAAAAATTGAAACCCTTCCGCGATGAAATAAACTGGGACTCGCCCAACCGAACCGAGGTAGGTGACAGCACAGCACAGCACAGCACAGCTTCGCCCAATTCTTATCTTTTGTCAGCAACACTACTGTACCGATGAAAACATCAAGAAAAACTCTCATCCGCTAGTTCGACGATCGCGAGCAAGGAGGGAAAATCTTTCTCTCACTAGCTTCGGCCGAAGAACACTCATCGTTCGTTCGCCCAGAAATTCTTAAGAGAGGGGATCCTAGTGCACACAGTATGTTTTTTCTCTTGGTATGATTTTCGGTACTTAACGCCGTGCTTGACCAGTGGCCCGCTCTTTTAGTGCTTCGTGATAACCTCACTTTTATACTATGCTTCAAAAGGTGTTAACCTGGCATCAGGGCGTTGTCTAACGTCAGACGGTCTACCTGAACGAGTATGTATAAACCACTCGCAGTTGTTGGCACTCATAACAGTTCGGGCAATAACGGTACGGATTCCGCTATCAGCACCCGTTCCCTGACATTTTGAGCAAGGGGGCGGCAGCGACGACACCAGTTTCGACTTGAGATACGAAAAGGATCACTGACCGATCAGCCCTCGCTTCGAAGCTTCTACGATCCTGATGATGTATGACCTCCACTTATCGGATCAGCGACGTTTAAGATTTGGATCGAATGTCGATGATCACGGTCCAGACTGCTGCTGTTGCTGCTGTAACATCATCACTCCTTCTTCTTCGGATCCTTTTGTCTTTTTACCTAGTTTCGATCCTGTTCAACACATGTACCAACAATGCCATGTGCATCATCTTCAAGACCTCTCGGACTCTTCTTGGTCATATCACCCTTCAGCCACTCATCCATCTGCCCGCTTCAGGCAATCTCAGCCCATCTTGGGCTGTGTAATAACCGAATGGGTTTTTCTATGCTTGGCTCCGCGCAGTTGGTTGCTTGGCTTGGCTTGTCTTGCCTTTCCACTATCCTTCTTGTAAGCTATATCCGCCCCGCTTACGTCTGTCTTTCGGGGCACTCGCCGGTGAGGGTACGTAATACGCGTACACTACCGTACCTGTTTTCTGGCGTGGTATTGCGCTGTCTTTGGGTAAGGTAGTATGCGGCCTGGTGGCTCGGCTCAGCACATCCATGGGCGTTGGTTGTTGGTGGTGGTGGTTGAAACAGTCCATGACTGGATTTGGGCTTACTAGGTAGCTACGCCGCCAGCCATGCGCGGAGATGAAGTATTGAATGAAAAACTCTTCTCCCAAGCCCTGAAGTACGATGCCCAACGAAAGCTATCGTCGTCTTTGCTAGGCTGTTATTTGATGCTTCAAAGCATTAGATCGTTGCAAGGCAGAGAGGATATGCGCTTCGCGCTCCCTACACTCTGTTACGTTACTGCGGCTTCCATTGCCTTGGCATACAGGAAAAAAAGCGTTGGGGTCAAGCTCGTCTTCCGTTCTCACAAAAACGCGATACTTTGGAAAATCGGCGAAACACAATTGACGACATCAACAAGAGGAGATCCCCCAACTGAAGCCATCACCACCAAGCAAAAGTTTTCACAGATTCCGTCGATCTCAAAACAAAGCAGCCTCTTTCGTTGCACATCATTTTCATATGCATTTCTCTTTTCCATCCATCCATCCATGATTCATCATGATGCTAGGCTATCTCTTCCCGCACCCAAAACTGGGGATTGGAGGAAGCAAACTTCATACTGTGTACAAACGGAGAGAACTTCCCGGCACAACAACACCATGAGAGTTTCAGGCCGGACTTTACCCTAAACGGATTTAAGCTTAACCACAGTTGGAGATGGACGACAGCTGTTTGGATAGAGCCAAAAAGAGACAGTGTGTGTGCAAGTGTACTTGGAGGTACATGAAATTTGGAGAAGGGTACTTTCCCAAATGCCGTTACATCGGAATCGGGGATCGGAGTCGGGGTTAGTGGTGCTTGGTAGGGGACGGACGGTCGGTCGGCCGCGCGGGTTGTTCGCGAGGACCGACTTGATGCGACCTAGGACGTGGTGTCGAGTTATGCAGACAGATCATGTGAAGGTGAAGTTGTGCAGCATTGGAGTAAAGTTGTGAATGGCGGTTGACTGCTTGGCGGTTAGAGAGTTTCGGGACTTGGAGTCGGGTATGTAAGTTGGAGGCGGGTTAGGGTTGGACATGCGGGTGTCGTTCCCGTCCTCAATGCCGTTAACGCCTCCTCCAGTCCTTTCTCCTCACTCAAACAATGACTCGGAGCTGAACCGCACCGCGATGATAACACAGTGAAGAAAGCATGATGATGGATCAAGATAAAGCTCTAAGAAGAGCTTGATAATGATACTACCTGTATTGTGCCCGATTGTTTCCGCGCGTATATCAACCACACACAGGCTGTCTCCGTCTCGATCACCAACATACCGTACGCGCCGCAAAATACCATCCAGCCACGTTTCCCAACCCGCCATTAACACATATTCAAAAGTTCCCGTACCAGAAATCTAAAGAGGCTAAGCAGTTTACTTCAAACATGCCCATATCTTACATTTCAGGAGCATGGTTGTATCAAAGGGACATGCAAAGCGGCAAACCACCCACTGACAATGGTCGTCGACACTCCGACACTGAAGTGGTAGACGCTCAGTAAACACCAAGAACTAGACAGGACCAAGCATCCCATTTCACCATACGTACCGTAGTAGACAACTCACACCACATGGTTGCCTCCATATGTCAAAGTAGAAACGCCAAGTTCAGCTATCGCGCAACGAAAGCGAGCAACTAGGTGGAAAAGCCACAATACCCCTAAAGTTCTTTGCCTCAGTTCAGCGCCCCAGTGTCAAGGATCACGTCCTGACCCTGAATCCCTGACTGGCTCCCGAAGACTACTACCGGTCGAAATAGGTAAACTGAGATAGATATCTATCACATGACCTTTCCCATTTGATGCCCACCCGTTGGTGAGGTGTGTTCAAGTTTCTAGTGCTTATCTTGAAACGGATAGTGAAACTAGGTAATCTGTTCATGTCCTCGTCACCATTCACTTCACCTTTGTCTGTCATAGATGTGGTAGGCTATCCTAGCCCCGGAAGTAGTTGCCGCAACCACATCCCGATATTACTACACTACACTACACGTGTGGAAGTGGAACTAAACTAAGAACTAATCATCCTCACCTATACCTATCCGCCCTCTCTTGCCGCAACCCCTCCCACTGTCCCAGAAGGTCTTTGCCTCTAGGGTTTTGAAGTTTCCACTTCCCGCTGTCAAATGACGTTGGATCGCGAAATCGCGAAATCGCCTTTTCAAGGGACAAGGGACAAGGGACAAGGGAGGAGATATCGCATTTCCCCCTTTCGGGATCAGACTTCAGAGAGGGAGGTCAAGCTTTTTCATGTGATGATGTGATGTACATCAGGTGTAGTTCGGGGTCCAGTTCAGTTCACTGACGTCTGGTCGTCACGTACCCCCATCAGATCTTCATGTGGTAACCTCAGCTCATCTGCCTACGACTGAGCCATCCATCCCCTTGAACCTTGAAAGATGATACACCAGGTAGGTGTGACACATACCGCCACCGCCCGCCTGTGACTCCAGTCTGTGAGCGCGATTTCACGGTCTGGCGGGGAAAGTTCCAGTCCATGTTCCGAGCCATGACCCGATAGTTCGGTAGAGGTAGAGGTTGAGGTAACCACACAACAGGCGGCCAGAAGACTGAACCGGACTGGACTTGGACTAAACGCGCAAAACGCGAGAGGATTCCGAACAAATGGAGAGATGATTTACCACATTGGGATCAGATAGATACTCCGTTGACCGCATAGGTGAGGTGAGGTGAGGTGAGGTGAGGGGTGCGGAGGTGCTGTGTGTGGTTCGGTGCGGTGAGAGAGGAACTAAAGGAGGAGACTGGAATGTACACAGTGCTTGAGGGCACTTACCTCTCTGCCTTCCCTTGAGGCTTGAACAAAGGAGTGGGGAGACATTCACTTATGTCGAGAAAGAACATATAGGGGTGGGGTGCTGGATCCAGCTAGCAAGTCAGCCAGCCAGCCTAAACACTTCCATGTCCTCCTCATTGCTCAAAAATGGTGACATGGAACCGGTAGCACATCCTTTTTGCATGGCTCTTCTAGACAATGGCACTTGATCGGCCGGCTGTAACTTTGACTTTGCCAACTCTCATTAGGTGACTGGATGTGTAAGAGACGGCGAGAAAGTGAGCCGCTGGCTGGTAAGTTTGTGTCGGGGAACGAACTGTGAGGGGAGAATATATAAGAAGAGCTCATCAAACCATCAAGGGGTTGGGTTTTTTGCATACCTTAGGTAGTCCGTGATAAAAATGGATTAGGAGTCCGTGATTTGCGTTTCCTCATCATAAGCTGTACTGTAGGTGCCGATCTTTCCTACTGGCATGCAGGTGCTACATGATCACAACAAGCTTGATGAATCTTTCCGTTGTCCGTGGACCTACCAAACACGGGAATAGGAGAATGAAGATGTGTTAAGCCGCCGTACTGGTAAAGCGTAGAGCCTACCGAAGTGATTCCATTGAGTTGTGACTCTTTTCTCATAACTCCATATGGTATAGCCGAATGCAATCGCCGGGTGTCTCTTGACGACACCTTTATCTAACTCCTGCCATACAGTTTTACGTTCCGACTTACTCACTGCCCACCCTGCAACCTCTTAATCCTCTCCTCCGCCGCCCTCGCCCTCCTCTCCCTCTCCAACCTCATCTTCATCTGCGGCGTGAGTCCCTTGGCCTCCTCCTCCCTCCGTTCTTGTGGCGTCAACTTCATCGCAGCCGCCAACACGCTTCCGCCCGCTCTTTTCCCGCTCTTCGGGGCATCCGCTTTGGGCCCTTCCTTCTTCAGCCTCTCCTCCTCCGCCTTCCTCCGCTGATCCTCCTTCTCCTTTGCCTCGTTCTTTTCCCTCTCCATCCTCTTCAGCGCCTCATCCCGCGATAGCCCGACGGGCACCTTGGCGGCTTCCCAATCCCATTTTTCTTCACCGAGTTCCGAACGGGCAACGCGGAAGGCATCGCGGATGGCCCGGTCGCCGGCGAGCTCAAAGGCAGTTCTGCCGTCTCCGTTCGGGATGGTAGGGTCCGCGCCGGCGCGGGTAAGGAGGCCTGTGACGAGCGCCGCCGAGTTTTGGGATGCGGCGAGGTGGAGGGGCGTGGGTGTGTGGTGGTCTGCTGGGAAGAAGCGGAACTCCTTCAAAGAAATGTCGTTGGTGCTGATGTAGGACAGAAGAGCGGGCACCTTGGAGCGCTTGACCAGGGCTTGGATCTGTTGGGTATGCAAGAGAAGTGTCTCCTCCTCCTCGGACAGTGTCGGCTTCGATGCCGCGGCCGGCTTAGGGCTCTTTGGTCTTTTCAATGACTCGGCGGCAGTTGGGGCGGCTGCCTCGGGGACGATCTGTCGTACTTTGAGCCTGGTGAGCTCGATAAAGGCGCGCATGAGCTCGTTCTGAGTAGCTCTGCGGGTCATGAAGGGGAAACCACGAATGCGGGGATCGTTCGCTCGCAAGACCTGTCCATCGTAGGGGCCGAATAATGTCCTCCTGTTGGTTAAGCCTGTGGCGCGGATGAAGAGCAGCTCGGATGTGTCGATGAGTCCCTTCCATTCGGCCAGCAGGCCGCGAACATCCTCGACGAGAGCCTGCTCGTTGTATCGACGGAGGTTGGCACCGGCAGAGTGGGCAGCGCCCTTGGCATTGTCATTGGCAGACTGCGAGCCACCCTGCTTGCGACGGGTCGTGTATCTGTGGAAGGTCTTGTGGACCAGTACGATGGCTTCCTTGTTCAGAGGTCCAGTAGTTCCATGCTTGGTCTTGCGTGGGTTCAAAGCGATTATCATGGCGGCAAAATGTCCGCCGCCGATCATGCACATGAAGATGTGCTTGCCGGTGTAATTTGGTGGGAGGTCGTTGGCGTCCTTTGGCGGTTTGCCCATGGTGATGGGCGCCAGTTGCCTGGATTTGATGGCGTCCACGATAGCGTCCTCCTTCTTGAGCTCTTCCTGGGTCAACATGGCTTTGTAGACACCATAGTAGGAGTTCTCTGGTAACTTTGGGGATGTGAACCAGAGCAATGGCTGTGATCCGTTTGATGTCTTTGCTTTCCCTCCGTCCTCTTCATCGTCGCCATCCTCCTTTGCCCTCTTTCCTGCAATGTTGGCCTGCTTCTTCAAGAGTGCAGATAACATGTGCGTGTCTTTGTCCTGACCCTCTTCCTCATCCTCACTGTCTGACTGGTCCGAGCCTGAAATGCTCTCGTCGAGGTTGTTGACGAGCTCCTCGAACTTGGCCTCGGTTACTGGTTCAAGACCGTTGAGTTTTTGTTTAAGGTTGTAATGATGAAAATCGGTCTTCAGGTGACTCCGTTGTTCCTGGACATGATCGAATTTGAGGCCGCATAGCGAACAGCTGGCTTGAGACCCCGAGGTTGTGGGTTCAGCTGCTGCGGAATCGGTTGTCTGCTTGGCGATTTCGGCGACTGGTTCGTCTGTAATGCCAGTATCTGACTTGAGAGCAATGGTGTTTAGAATTTGGGGGTCGATGTCGTATAGATAGACGGGCCTCCGCTGGAGGTCTTCCTGGTTGCTGGCCATTTTGTCGGACAGTTGAGGAAGCGTGGGCGATGATGGAGTTTAGTGGCGGGGATGACGGTTGGTTTTTGAAGTGGGCTAGCGGCCAGTGAGTGGACAAGATGCGCTTCGATTTATATGTTGGTGTTGATGAATGATAGGTGTCCGCCTTTGACGTGCCTGAAGCTATGAGACGTCAACTGTAAAGTTCCCTGACGGGCATCACCTCAGCGGGGCATTGTTCTTATCGCGCTAGAGTCGTTGGCCGATAAGAGTCATCTCGAGTGACGTACCTCCAGTTATTGTCGGACGTAACCCTAACCCTGACCATTTTCTAACTCCCAAGTCCGGGTTTCGGCCGCTGGAATTCAGGACCAGCAGCTGCGCCTTGCCTGCACGTTTCGGTTCTTTCAAACCTGGCTGAAGCATTGAAAAATTGGGATGTTGGATGTTGACGTTCGAGTGATGCAGTAAATTCGACGATTAATCCAGCGCGATCAAAGAGACAGTCCAGTCCGTCTTTTAAGTTTCTGTATCAAGGAAGAACGGTCCAGACGCCTTGATCCAAGCAATTCCAAGTGGCCCCTGTTCCAGTCCAACTCGTCTTTCTCGGCTGGCCCCCTTAACTGCTGCCTACCCTGAACATGGACAACAGGGGAAACCGGGAAAGTAAACAAGCGCCCGTCACTTTATGTAACCTTTTCGCGATACCTCACCTTTTTTGTCGCTATTATACAGAACCATAATTTACCTTCATTCACTCACCGTCACCGGTCAACCATCACCATCACGAATTAACAACCAACAACAACCAACAATAAACAATAACCGGCACCGAAAATGGCATCCCAACTCCCCTCATTTCCGCGCTTCGTCTTTACGAAATTTGAGCCTATCTCACTGTAAACCTCCTCCTCCTCCCTGACCCCTCAAGCCCCCATAATCACCAGTCACACTCACTAACACCCGCCTCCCCCCTTTAGACTCTCCGGCTTCCTCCCCGCCATCCTCAACCCCGATTGGTTCACCCACCAGCAACTCCTTTCCCACCCCCCATCCTCTTCACAATCAACAGCCTACCCCCCAGCCTCCCGCACCACAACCCGCCAACTAGGCAACATGTACTTCCTGGCCTTCCTCGTCGGCATCGGCGTCTTATACTCCCCTTGCGAGCTAAAGGTAGTCAGGAATTACCTGATTGCGCTGTGGGTGGCGGACCTGGGCCACATGCTGATCACGGCGGAGGCGCTGGGGTGGGAGGGGACGGTGGATGTGAGGGGGTGGAATGCTATGACTTGGGGGAATTTTGGGTGTTACTGTGAGTTTTTTTCTTTCTCTTCTTGTTCTTCCATCTTTCGGTATTCATTTCCAGAGTTGTTGGGGTTTCCATAGTTCGTGGGGTGGATTTAGGTTATGAGTGCGTGATTATGCATGAAGCTGACAGATACATGTGTAGATGTTCTTGTTTTTGACGAGGACGGCGTACTTGATGGGGTTGTTTGGGCCGGATAGGCCGAGGACTGTTGTGATGGGAGCAAAGAAGACGGAGTAGAAGTGAGTTACTTGGTAGGAAGTCGTTTTTGGTGAGTACATAAGGTGTGGGTGGTATGGTGATTATCTGAATGGGACGTTTCGGATGTTGTGATAAAACTCTAACAGCATCGACAACAAAAGTTGACAATGTGGAAATAGCAGCATATCGCACATGCTTTAACCTGACAACCTTGACTTTCGTTGATTTAGGGGAACGATCGGTGCTCAGCACTGCAGTCAAGCCAAAGACCGCTCTTGGAGATCAAAAGTAAGGCATGAAACAGACAGTTTATCTGCAAGCTAGAAATAGGTACTTTACAGTCGTACTCGCTGTTTTATCGTTCATGCTCGTCCATACTCAGCATCCCTACTACCGCTATGCTACCCGGCAACTTTTCTCTCCTGCGCCAAACAAGCTCCACGATCCACTACCGCTCCGGCTCTGGCTCCGACTCCTCGAATACTACCTCTTATTCGAACTCTTACTCAACTTCCTCAAGTTCCCCGCCTCATCCGAGCTGCTTCCTGCCAATGCAGCAAGTGGAACTTCAGCACCACTTGTAATAACACCACCTACCGCTCTGCCTGTTTATCATAAGGAAAGTTCCCCGATTAGTATCCAGCTCTTGAATAGGAAATCCAACTCAACTCTGCATCACACACACCGCGCTGAAAACTAAAAGGGGAGAGAAAAAACCACCAAATAATGCAAACACGCTCGCTCGCTCGCACGCACGCAGAATCAAGGAGACTCACTAGCACCGAGACTGATTCCCTTTCCACCCCTGAGCGAATTCAAGCTCATTTGGCTCGTACCCGTTCCCCTCCTCTTGGGCGGCGTAATCGAAGGTAATGCGCCTTGATATTCGGAGTCGGGACTCCTGCCTGACGACGGCGATTCGGGTCTCGAGTTGTTCTCAAATCGTGTATCCAAGGAACCGGGGTACATTGGGCTTGTGGGCCTCGAATTTGGTCTCTTGAGGATGTTGGTTCCAAGCATGGAGCCAGAAGTGCTTTTGAAGCTGCCGACAGGGGTCGTAATAGGGCTCTCACGAGCCTGGTGTGATGATTGATGTAGCTGTTGCTTCTTCGGGCTACTACTCGTATCAAAAGATCTGATGCTTCTTAGCTCGTTGACCTGGTCCAGCCGTTCCTGGTGTTCGTCGGCGTTAACAAACTGCTCCTCGCCGTCACGGACACTCCCGGCCACGGCAGTGCTGACGTCGCTGTCGGCGGCAGTGGTATCGCCGTTCTTGTTAGGAACGAAGCGATTGAACGAGGCACTGGCGCTCAAGCTGACGTGTCGGGCGCTTCGATAGCGTTCGTATTCTTCTTTGGTGTGTTCGGCTCCGGTGAAACTCTCGAGTGCATCAAAGACGTGCTGGAAGACTTGAGCGTCAACGTCACGGGCCCAGAGAAAGTCAAGGTGTTCGTAGTGTGGGATCTCGGTGGCCACCGTCTGGGTGGGTAGTTCGCGAAGCATGACCTTAATGTCTACAAGGGAGTCGATGCCCCCGTAGACTAGTACGATCGGCGTCTTGATGTTGCGGGTGGGATACTTGGCGACCTTGGTGTATTTGCTGCTGGTTGAAAGCATGAGCGGCGGCTGGACATCGTCATCGTACATCTGGAAGGACTTGGTGCGAATAATCTGGAACCAGTGAACGACCGACTTGGTGCTTGTGAACGAGTAGAGATGCGGATATGCGGCAAGCTTTTGCGAGGTGCTGATGTTCTCGGTCTGCCAGTTGAAGAGAAAGCTGAGTCCCATGTCAATGACCTTGGAGAAGATGGGCGGGTAGAGGATCGACTGCCACATGGTTGCCGAACTCAGAATAGAGCGTCTTCCAAAAAGCAAGTATAGAACCTGCGGTGATGCTTTAACGAGGGCGTCGACAATGCCATTGGATAGACCGGCCGGAGACATGGCTGGGGCTAGAGCGATAAAGACGTTGACCTGGTCGTTGAGCTTCGGGTGGATAGACAGACTAGCAAAAGCTTGCGCTGTGCCCTGAGAGAAACCGATGTATGACAAGGACGGCTGCCCGGTGGTTTCCAAAATGTAGCTAATGCTGTCGGGAATATCGTGGAAGGCGAACTCGTCAATCGAAAAGTTCCAGAATTTCTGCGACATGGGCGAACAGTGGACGGATTTCTTGGAGTATTTGTTGCCGCGGTTATTTCCAAACTGGAAGGTGAACTTTGTTAGTGGTGTTTTCGACTGGACTAGAAGCAATACAACTTACCCAAACATCAAAGCCGCGCTCAACGAGGACAAAGGGCAAGCACCTCTGCTCGTCCGTGAGGCAGACCCAAACCTCGCTGTTCATCAGCAGACCGTGGTGGAGGTAGACAACGCGCTTCTTGACGCTGTTCGGCCCTCTATTGACCTTTGTATCCTCCTCGCCTTTTCTGTAAGCCAAGCGATGCAGACCGAGCAGATATCCATCCTTAGTTTGCACAACATGCTCTTCCGCGGTGTATCCGAACAGGGCACAAAGGTCGACAAAATCAGAGGCGTCTCGGACGGCTGCAGAGACGGCTGTATATATCGCTCGGGGTTAGTATGTTGTTAAATGATAACCGACAAAGGCCCAGGGTGTATACTGATGCCACTTACGTTGTCTCCTCTCCTCCGCCCACTTCTGTGCTGGTGATGTCCATCGATTGAACAGTCGTCTCGATAATCGGTAGAATAGGGTGATTAGGGAATTAGGCAGGGCAAGCGTCAGGATACGAATAAGGGCCTCGAGTCCCACAAGCAAGAAAGACCCGATAAGCGCAACATACTCGGTGCTATTGGAGACAAGATAAGACGTTAGACAAGTGCACCGAGATACGGGATTGTTAGGTAGAGAGAACAGAGGCATGTCTCACACATCGAGTCGCCCGAGAAATGGTACAGGCATTGTGGCGGCTTTCGACGACTATGCCCGCATTGGCGCTAAGTTGGATATACCAGGAGTCGAAGTGATCGATAGCTGTAGCTTTTGCAAGGAAGAGATCTGACCGAGAAGGGCAGGGCAATCAATAGCTCCCGAGGAGTTTCGTCGAGTCTAGAGCTCGTGTGTAGGTAGAAGAAAGAATAGAAATGTCCACGGCTGGACGGTACAAAGGTGTATACAAAAGCAGATGTGCCGCCAAAGATTAATTGGAAATTATTATATATAACGTACGGGGTAACAAGTTGTTGGTCGGTTGGTGATAAGAGGAAAAAAAGGCGGCGAAGATTTGAGAAGGAGCGGTTTGATCCAATGTGATGTCACAATGTCAGGGTCACATGCAAAAGCTAGGACAAAAAAGAAGCTCAGAAGCGCAAGCGGTGTGCACACCCTCCTTTTCCTGTAGCACCTTCCTTTTCTCTTAGCTCTTCTGCATAAGTAGGTGAACCATTCAGAGTCTATAAAGTGTTTTCGATTTGATTATTGGCTCCTCGTTTCAGTGTCGTTTAGGATGATATTGAAGGATGGTTTACTATGAACAGATGTGACCCGAAGTGGAAGTTCAGGTATCAGATGGGTCGGTGATGGCGCCTTGGAGAATGAAGATCGTGGAGGGGTCCTGGCTCGGGCTCCTGGGGTGCACAACCTAAAGCATGGGGCTGAGAGATCCAAGATCTTGTGTACCCGCACACTTTATTTCTGGTAGGTAGTAGTTGCCATCCAAGAGAATCACAGACCAACACGATATAATGGTCTTATCAAGAGGTGCTCGACGAGCAGGTGTCAATCTACAAAGTCGAGAGCACTGAAAGGGAATGGAAGAATGGAAGAGGACCCGACGGGAGCCAATGAACTTGTCGAACCCCTGAGACTTCTGGAGAGCAATGTGTAAGTGCTAGTGCACAGACCATATTGTGCCCTATGCTCATGCACTCTAGAACAACCGTTCGGCCCCACGACTAGCGCACCCCAGTGATGGGATTCCGCCGCGTTCTAGAGATTGGAGTTCCGATCGCCATCACTCGTCGCCCGCCAAAGTTTCTCTGACCAACCGCCGCAGAACCAAGTCACCATGCCGAGCTCATGTAAAGAGATCCGTAAGTTGCCAGAATCTCCCTGCTCAGGCTTACCTTGCTGGGGTTAATCGCTAACTGCGCTCTCTCCTCCAGGTGCCGCCCTGGCGCAATGCCTCCAGGAGTCCGAGTGCGTTATGGTGCACAGAAACTCGGCCGCCGACTGCCTCCGTCCTCCTCTCGTCGACACCCTTCCGACCCAATGCCAGCAGTTCAAGAGAGCCTTCGGTGACTGCCGGCGAGGCATGGTCGACATGCGCAAGCGATTCCGCGGCAACCAACCCATCGCCTTCCAGAAGCTCCAGGAGACCGAGCAGTCCGGCGAGGGCTACCAGTTGTATGCTGGCAAGTCTGCCTTTGCTGGCGGCAAGGGCGTCACAGATGGAAACAATGCGGCCGAGCCGGACTGGAGGGATTTGGAGAACCAGAAGTACAGAGAGCAGGCTGCTGCCGCGGCAAACAAGAAGTGATGGAGACGATACAATACGATATGATACGGGGGCTTTGAGCCTGCATCGAACCACTATGCACACGGAAGGGGAATAATAAGCTGTACGATGGAAAGTGAAGCGATGGAAGATCCCATCATGAAGGAACGGAGACGGGAACAATGAGGCCTGGTCAGGCATGTACGACTTGCAAGCGTTAGGGTCTACAGGCTATGGGTGGAATATAAGTATCAGCATTGGTAGGCGTTTTGGATTTTACGGCGAAATATGAGTTTAAACTGCACCACTGTCGCCTTGTCACCACGCGAAAACAGGTGGTGCTGCGACCTCAGTCTTCCACCTTCATGCGCTTGCGTTGCGACGATTCAAGATCACCAGGGAGCAGCTCACCATTCAACAACTTTGTCGAGCTCGCCGGATGGGAAATACGGGTACAAGAAAGAGAGATATGGGCATCATTTTGCCATAGGTCACGCATTGGAATGTCCGAGTCCTGAATCTATAAACATTTCGGGTGTTTATCAGTGGAATCGTCAACTTGAGGTGAAGCCCAGTCTCCGCAGTTGTCTGATTCTGAGAACGGTCAGTCCACAATCTCTTTGAAAGTTGAGACCAACACCCTCTCCAACAACGGCGCACCTATCAGAAAGCCTTTTACCTACACGTGCAAAAGAAGGTGTGAAAGGGTACGTGTACCGGTTCGCAAAGATCCATGCCTCTCCATCATAAAAGCTGGCGCAAGACACACGCTAAATCATGGAGGGGCGGACTTCACTCCGTTACACATGATCACCAAAACTGAAGATTGCTATTGTTTAGACTATCGAGGTTTGAGACAATGGCTTTGAATCGAACTATTTCCTTTTCTTCTTGTATATATTCTGTCCGACTTGCATCACTTTGTTGCATGCTTGAAACTTGGCAGTTGTTTCCCTTTTTTTCCCATCATACCAGCCCCGCATATTTCTCTTTTCACCCTTCCTAAACTTTTCTCACGACAAATTCAATCCTACAAACAACCTAAAAGATCATGCGACACTACCTAAGCCCAACACTATGATCGCCGAAGCCATGGCACGCTTCTTCCGTCAACGGCGCTGCTCCGCCGCTGTCGGCACCAGCTTCATATTGCTTGCGATTTTGTCATTCTTCACGATGCACCTTCTCGGGCTAAACAGCGCAGGACAACAATCGCTCTTTCATCGACCGGCGACGAAGGCTTCCGAAAAGCTCCCAGAAATGACGTCGTACCGTAAGGGTCCTCGATTCCGTCTCCACTTTCACCAAACCCGTCATGCGCCCGTTTGTTTTCTTCCAACAATGTTTCTTCGTCACATGTCTCATATTGTGATATTGCACCCTGTGTCCATAGCCTCTTCACAAGCTCTTCGTCTTTTTGCCGTTCTTTATCCAGTTTGACGGATTTAAACCTCCAGGGCTATCTGAGCAACACCGCCAATAGATTGCCAGAACACTTCATTAATAATGTCTATAGAATCTTCGAAACCTCTCGCCACCCAGAACGACGGCGATGATCACCAAGTTCCCATCATCTCAGACATCGAACTTATCGACGCAATCCACAATCCTGTAATTCTGATATCAACCCTTCCCAAGGAACATCTTCCTTCTACCACCATTCCTTCACCAACGTCCGCACCCTCTTCCGATGTCACCAATAACAAACGCCTGGTTATCATAGGCGACACGCATGGTCGCCTAACCACCCTGAAATCTCTTCTGGACAAAATATCATTTGATAATACGACAGACCATCTCATTCTTGCCGGAGACCTGGTGACGAAAGGTCCGGATAGCAGAGGCTTGGTGCAGTTCGCCAGGGATATAGGAGCGAGTGCGGTGAGAGGCAATCATGACGACCACGTGCTGGAGGCTGCAAAGTGGTTGAGTCGCAAAAAGCAGGGCAAGAAATGGTGGGGAAAGGCGGAAAACGAAGCTGATGGTCTGAGTGATGGTGAAGAGAAAGCGTCGGAGAAAGAAGCAGAAGACACCGTCGACGCTGCGGGACAACGACGGAACAAAAAGCCCAAGGGGGTAAAACCAGAGCATATCGCCGTCGCCCACTCCCTCAGTGCCGCTCAGCTTCACTGGCTCGCCTCTCAGCCCATCATCCTCCGAGTCGGCCACCTTTCCGGAGCCAAGACAGCGCCATGGAACGCCAAAGAAGTGGTCGTCGTCCACGGCGGCCTCATCCCATCTCTCCCACTAGAGAAGCAAGACCCGTGGGCGGTGATGAACATGCGAAGCCTGGTTTACGAACTCTCCACTGCTTCAACCCCCGACAACAACAGTGAAGAAGACGAAACAACGAAGGATGACGGCGGAAGCATCAACACCAGCACACACAAAAGAATAACCACCATCCCCCTCGACACCCGCGACGGCGAGCCCTGGTCCCGCGCCTGGAATCGCTGGCAAAATCTGATCAACAACGCGTCCAAGCGCGTAGCCGTCGTCTACGGCCACGACGCCCGCTCCGGTCTGCAAGTCGACAAAGACATCACCATCAACCTGGGCAAGAGCCCGATCCCAATCAGCGCCCGCCAGATCACCGGAACAGGCGACCAAATGGTCAACGTGACCGCCGGAGGAGACGTGGAAATCGAAATCGAGACGGAAGTCGAGATCGAATCAGAATCCGAGGTGGAAATCAATGTGTACTCTGGAGGAACCGTGACGACTACCACCACGACTACGACGAGCACGGGAACGGCCACGCAGACTGTTACGACTGGCGGGACTGGGGGTGATGGTGATGATGGCGATGACGACGATGACCCGGCGACGAGCACTTTGTTGGCGACAACGACGACTGCAGCGACTGCGGCGGAGACGGGAACGGTCGGGAAGAGATCACCCAAAAATGGAGGAAACGGAGTGGAAGCCGAAAGGAGTAGGAAGAAGCTGAAGAAGAAGTTCAAGGGGACTCGATATGCGTACGGTCTTGACTCGGGGTGCGGGCACGGGAAGCAACTGTCTGCGCTGGTCTTGGAGGTCAATCAGACCGGGGATGATATCGTGCATAGGATTGAGCAGGTTGAGTGTGAGTGATCACCTATATCACGGGCCCGAAAACAAGGGATGGTCAGGTTGATGGGTTATGGGAGAATGAAGGGCTTCATCCCACCGGATTTGCATTCTACGGTTGGCAAAGTTTGTGCATGATGTTTTCTATGCCACACTCGAGACTGGCGTTGATTTTGGCGTTTCGGTTAAGCTATTACACAAGAAGTTGGACTGAACTGTACTATACGTTCACGGGAACCAAGGGTAAACAAGATTTCCTATGACTGAGGTAGATGATAGAAAACAAGAACCCTATGTATCCAGTATTGAGCAATTCTTGCTGTTCCTTATTGGTATGAATCCGGAGCAAAATGTGGTCGGTCAGGTAGGCCTGTAACTCGAAATCAGTGAGATATCTACAACCCTAACCCTGTCTAAGTGACCTCGTTATCTCCGGGTCTCGCACAGTAAAAGCCGCGGTGGTCACAGCGGACCTTCCCCCACACTGTTGGAGAAAGCCATCCGATTGTTCAGGAGAACATGTCGTCACCGGCAGCGTGGGCATCAAAGACACGCGGAGTTTCATTGGAGAGACACAGCTGCCGGGTCATCGCACTTGCTGAACTAAGCAGCCGATTTCCCCTCCTCCTTCATTGCCATTCGGTTCGGATTGGTTGTCTTTGATATAACTCATTGAATTCATTTCATCCAACAATGTGACACTTTCATAACATCGACTGGCGACTTCACAGCCCACACTCGATGATCATCGTTGTTATTGCTCACAGTTGTTGATTACTCACCCGTCTGCGATCACTACCATCGGATTCTAGCATCTCAGCACCTTTCGCTTATCACTCAAAGAAACAGAGATTCGCCCCTGCAAACAGGAAACAATGAGCAGCAGTCCGATAACACAGCCGCCCATGGCTGCGGCAGTACCAGTCACTAGGGAAGCGGATAACGAAAGCGATGCGTCGTTCGAGAGCTCTCATGAAAGTCCACCCGAGAATCTGGAAAGTGGCAGTGGTGGACATGGATCTTATGCGGAGCACCAGGACCAAGACCAAGCGGACTCGGACGATGCCGACTATGTGTATCACCCAGCGCAAGAACATGCAGACGAGGAGGAGGACGAAGACGAGGATTACGATGACGAGGACGAACACGATGACGAGGAGGACGAAGATGACCACGACTATTTCGACGGCAGTGGTGGTCTCGAATTCGAGCTGGTTATTGACGAACTAGCGCCGGGCGCCCATGATGATGAAGAAGATGATGACGAGAATGACAATGATGCTGGAAATTTAATGCAGAGGAGGATCCTTCAGATATTACGTGGTAAGAGATACAGTGTCACTTTGACCGTCCCCGTTAAGCGGTATCTCATTCCTCTTGAGAAGACGGAATACATATGCTAACAGGGTGATTGTTTCACTTTCCCAGGAGGCGGCGGTCGTGCTCGCTTAGGTTCACGACAACTGTTGTCGCTTATCCAAGGTCATGATATGGATGGTATCGACGACGATGACGACTACTGGGAACCGCCCAGACGAAACAGGCCAGTCTATGTGCCTGCCTTTCCCAAAGTGCCCAGTGACCAAGGCCGGAAGCTCATGGAGTCAGGTGTTTTCGGTGCTTTCGACCTCAGGGAGCCAGATAGCAAGAGGAAGAGACTTAGTCGGCGGTTACTGGATCGAGAGTTGGGGCTGGGCGATAGGACGGAGCAAAAGACCAATCTGGCGCTTATGGCTCAGCAGATGATTCCCTCGTCCAAGCCAGAAATGGTCGTCCACTACGATGATCCCGTGTGCTGCGGCCAGTTCTCCGACGACGGCAACTTCTTCTACGCCTGTGTCAAGGACTTCAAGGTTCGCATGTACGACACGTCCAACCCGTACAACTGGAAACACTACAAGACTGTCCGATACCCCTTTGGCCAATGGACTCTCACGGATGCAGACCTCAGTCCAGACAACAAGTGGCTTGCCTATACATCTCTGACAAGCCAAGTTTGCTTCGCCCCTACGGACCCCAATGACACAGGTGATCCATACACGCTCGATCTTGCCGGTGGCATGGTCCGTCAAGGGTGGCGGGATGCCTTTCCCATCTTCTCCATTCGCTTCTCAGGCGACGGACGAACACTGGTGGCCGGCACAGGTGCGGACTCAATAGTCGTTTACGACATCGAGCGGCGCGAGCCTCTTTACAACGTCGAGGGCCACGACAACGACGTGAACGCCGTCTGCTTCGCCGACAAGCACTCTCCGCACATTCTCTACTCGGGGTCCGACGACTGCACCATCAAAGTATGGGACACGCGAAGTATGTCGTCCCGCCGCGAAGCCGGCGCCTTCGTCGGCCACATGGAAGGCCTGACGTACATCGACAGCAAGGGCGACGGGCGCTACATCCTCAGCAACGGCAAGGACCAGTCCATGAAGCTGTGGGATCTGCGCATGGCCATGTCCACCGCCGACGTGGAGCGGCTCGATGCCACCAAGCCCACCGCCAGCCGCCGGTACCAGTACGACTACCGGTTTGGCGAATACCACGATTACATGTGGCGGCCGCACCCGCACGATAACTCGTTGGTCACGTTCCGGGGACATAAAGTGCAGAGAACGCTGATAAGGTGCCACTTCTCGCCGCCCGGAAGCACCAACTCGCGCTATGTCTACTCGGGCTCGTATGACGGGTTCGTCTATGTCTGGAACTTGGACGCGACGGTTGCCGCCAAGATCGACGTCAAGAGCGCCACCGAGGGCTTGAGGATCCCGGGGTATACGCCGGCGGCGAGGAGGAGGGAGTGGATGACGCTGGTGAGAGATGTGGGATGGCATCCTAATGCGCCGTTGCTTGTTGGTGAGTTTACATATCTTGAACCCCGGCCTTTTGTTTTATACACCCGCTGGCTTTTTTTTAAAAAAAATTTTAAATTTTTTTTTTTGGGTTTTTTGGACTAACACACTCCCTCTTAGCGTCATCATGGAATGGACCGACCATGAATGCTGGAACGGCGACATTGCACTCTTACAACGAGAACGATGTTGATGAGGCCGAGCCGGGGATGGGTCTTTCGGTTAACGAAAAGATACAGCCGGACGAGGGTATCTTCAACTGGGGTGGGGTGCGAGGGTATGGGTTTGATGATGACGACGATGATGACTTGTTCTGATTGAAAAGCTTCCTTGAGGGTCGGTTGGTTGTCTCGTGAACAATTACTTTTACAGCTTGATGTTTGGTTTCCTCATGTTTGGGTTTGTTTGATAGATGGATTGTGCGTTTCTAGGACGCAACGGAATTAGGGACCGTTATAAGACGGTTGGAAGGATAGGGAATTCTAGGTAGCTAAGCAATAGCATGGGTATATACCGACAATGATAAAATATCGTCATGAAAGAGCACCAATCTACATGTTGTCCTTGGGCGTACCTTTAAGTTTTAACATAAACGAGTCGGATTCAGAAAGGCTGTGCCCGGAGGCTATTAACCTAGATATTGGCCGTCCGCTTCTTATGCCATCAAACCAGACAATCAACCGCTAAATTTTCTCATCACTGGTCTCATCGTCCCGTGTGCATCACAGCATCTTTACGGACATCGACGAGGAAGGCTCCTACTTGTAAGCCAACCCTAACCACCGCCACGATAAGCAGACGTGCCAGCTGCCTGTCGGTTGATAGCAAACTTGCGCACGGTTCAGTCCAGGAACTGTGTGCCTGCCGCGAACAAGGAAAGGAGCCCAAAGCCCAGACCATGCCCAGCCATTGGCGCAGGGTGCCATTGCCGGAGAGGTCCTCTCCCGCTCTGAGTGCCGTCGCGTGCACCTCAGTCCGAGCCCCAAGGTACCTGCCCAGGCTGTGTACGCTACCTACCGTGTTGGACCAAAGCCCCGTCCACTGCATGCCGCGAAGCTCTCCGTTCAACAGGGCAACTTTTTCTCCCGTGCACCATCTTTCCCCTTCTAACTGAACCTCTTTTCTTCCATTCCACCCGACAACAACAGGCGACCAAATCGTGTCCACACAGCATCGAAGAACTCGGAATCAGCCATCTCTATCGCGAGGCAGTTCGACACGCTCTGCCCACCAGTGGATTTCTCAAGATCCGTCAGTCGGCACCTTGAGCATCATCACAGTCGGCCCAGCTCCAACGCCTGTTTGCCCCGTAGAGACGCAGCGACCGACGCGGGGAGAACCCAAGCCAGTCGATCACTTTTGGCTCAACCTTGCCCCAATCGACAACCCTTTGTCAACCCGTCCGGCTCCCTCAGCATATTCGACTGTCCGCTCTTATCCAGTACCGATCAGACCCGAAGTCTAGTTATCAATCAGACGTCACTTTGTCCATTAACCCTTACAGATCTCCGTTTCCATCCATCCAGCTCTATCTACCGTTCCTCTGGTGACCTTGTCTCCAGCCGACCAGCACTCTACAAACAGGACCAGAGCAAGATACTGCGAGTTGTCGCGTCCCATAGCGTTGCGCGAGTCAAGCACGGAAGGCGTCTCTAGGGAACTTGTCATAAATCTGAAAGAAGGAAGTTGAGACCAGCTCGGGATACAAGAAGAGAAAAGGAAGAAAGAACACAAACAAGAACAACACAAGACTGCAAGCACAGAGCTTCCGTCTTGAAGGAAACAAAATCTCTTTTACCGAGGCCATCCTCTCCTGTCTTCTGAAACTTTAAAACAGCTTCCGTCGTCATTGGGGATCGGAATGTACGTACTCGCAAACTCTACCTTTTTCTGTCTTTCCTTCCTCTCCCTATCTCTTTTTCTCTCCTTTGGCTGTTATTTGCTTTCCTACACCATGGCCGCTTTTCCTTCCCGTAACGCGTTCGTCATTGCGTATTATCGTCGTCTCTGCCTTTCTTCAACGCTCAGCCAGAAATCGGATGGGTATCATCGGCTTCATGACTATTCTTCCAGAACCCTATTTTGTCAGCTACTGATTCGGGGACCTCGCACTACAGACAATCTTGTACTTCTGATCAATAGCCAGGTTCTTAATTCAGACTTGCTTTCCAGAGAGAACAGCACATACTCGTTGACCTGAAAACTCAGGCACCCCCGTTTCACAACCTAGTCACTTGCCAGTCCAAGGACCCAGTCGTATTTACAATGGCCGAGGAGGAGTTCGAGATCGACGTCTATGCCGATGCAGGCAATGACCAGTCCGGCGAGCAGCAGGGTGACAATGATCACCATGGTTACGATGACAACGGCAACCATGAGAACGGTGACGGACAGCACCAGGATTACCAGGAGGACCACCACGGCGAGGATTCCGGCGCACATGACAACCAGGAACAGACATCACAGAACCAAGCGCCCCAGCAGCGACAGCAAGGCGTGAAGCGCAAGGACGCCCCTGGCTCCGATGAGCGACCCGTTGATCCCGGCGCTACTACTGCCCTGATGATCTCGGATCTCCACTGGTGGACTACGGACGACGATATCCGCGGTTGGGTGCGCCAGGCGAACTGCGAGTCTGAGATGAAGGATATCACGTTCAGCGAACACAAGGTCAACGGCAAAAGCAAGGGGTATGTGGAACTTCCCGCCAGTGTAAATCAGGAATATGCCTGCTAACTGTATTCTTTAGACAAGCTTACGTCGAGTTCACTTCCCAGCAAGCCGCGAGCGCAACCAAGCATGTGATCGATAACCTGTCGAGCGAGATCGGTCAGCAGCCTGGCCAGAAGCGCCACTCGGTGATTTACTCAAGCCCGGTTGTCAACCCCTTCCGCACGCTTCCGAAGGACACCCCGAACCGTGCTGTCAAGGAGATCCGTGACCGTGCTCCCAGCGGACCTAACAACTTCGACAACCGCGGTCAGAGCAACTTTGTCCCGAACAACAACTTCAGCGGTGGTTTCCGTGGCGGCCGTGGCGGTTTTAACGGCCCCCGTGGCGGCATGAACCCGAATTTCAACCGCAACTTCCAGGGCAACAACATGGCTTTCAACAACAACACTGCCGGCTTCAACAACCCCATGGCCGGCAATGGCTACGGCGGCGGCTTCGGTGGCGGTGGTTACCAGCGCGGCGGTATGATGGGCAACAACATGCGTGGTGGCCCTAACATGCGCGGCCGTGGTGGAATGAACAACAACATGATGGGAGGCATGCCTATGCCCATGCACGGCATGAACCCCATGGCTGGTGGTATGAACCCAGCTATGGGTATGATGAACCCTGCTATGGGAGGTAAATCACTATGACCATCAGTTCGACTGCTTTTTCTACGTATGTGAAGCTTACACATTATCAAATTCTAGGCTTCCCAGGAATGCAGCCCTTCAATGCAGGCTTCTTTAACGCCGGAAGCCAGTCGGAAGGCTGGGGACAGAACGCGCATCCGGCCAAGCGCCCTCGCCAGGAGTAGAGCAACCAGCAGGGCAGCCGTGGCTTTAAGACGGACAACATGCGCTTCTAGGCCGGAGACGACACCAAGTCTGCGGACCTCGAACATGGGCCGAACAAGGAAAGACGAGGAGTTTTAAAAAAAGACGAAGAAAGTCTGAATAGCGATATATCAATCTCATGGGTTACAATCGGATGAGCCATCAAGAATCCCGGATAATCGCAGGGCTCAACAAGGGCCTCTTTCTTACCTCGGTTCGAGTCGCCTAGACATCTTATGGTACAGGCGTCTATTACACAGCGTTCAACACTTCGGCCCTCGACTATACTATACAGTTGCTATTGTACAAGATTGGTGGAATAGACTGAGTGGACCAGCACCACTGTCCCGAGCTACAGCATCCTGGAGAACTTGACTTTCGCCCGATTCTACTCGGGGTGTCCTGAGGCAAGAGAATGGCTAAGGCCAGGAGACCCGAGGGATGGTACCGACTACCCGACAGACAGACAGCCTACTTGACAGTCTTGAGGCTACCAGAATCAACTCGATAGCCAGCAGTGGTATTCAGTCGACAACAGCGTGTCGATCTGTTTTCCTTGGACCTATTCACGTTCTCTTTCCAGTTCTTTTCTTTTTCCTTTCTGTACGCCGGTTTTCGTTTTCTTCGGTATGGATATTGGTATGGCTTTAGTTGCTTGCTTGCTTTGGTTTTTCATTCTCGCGCGCGGGAAATCCAGGGAGGGAAGAAAATCAGTGGAAGGCAAGACAAATAGATTTTAGGAAACAGGCGAAATTACAACAAGGCTGGCTGGCTGGATTCGAATGGGTAGTACCTACGGAAGAGAGAGTTGCGTATTAGTTGTTGTTGAACAGAGAGAGATACGAGTGAGAATCAAAGTCTTTTTTTGAGATTGTTTTCTTCTATATAAGGTGTTCTGGTGGTGGTGGTGGGTTCGCATTCTCATTGCCACGGCGTTTTCTGTGTCTTGAGTTAGACTGAGAGTGAGCTGAGGTGACTTGATTTGATCATGATGGCGTCTATCTACATCTATGTAAAAGCGGCTTTGATCACTCACTCAACGGCGACCATGATGATGAAAGAAGATGCTGATGGCGATCGATACGTGGTACCCCTTTGTTACCTTTTGACACAGACGGCGTTCAAGTGTTTCCTGGAGGGTTTTGGGTTTGGTTTTCTTATCCTCAGATTTTTATGATGCATGTTTGTTTGCTATGTTTTGATCATTCCGGAGTCAGCTAGCTGTACGTGAACACTCGGTTTTTTTTTAGAGAGGAATGTTTATCTTCAAGCTGCCATATAATAGTAGAGATTTATCTACAAGTCGCAGTATATCGATCCGTTTTCAGATCGATCATGTGAAAACACCTTACACTTAAAAGTCCTGAATTCTTGAAGTTGATGTCGATGCAAATGTCGAAGACTCGAAGTTGAGGAATGTCAGGGGCTTAGTGTGGGTCCTTGCACCTGAGTAGAACGGCCGGTTATTGGCTGACGTGTCCTTTAACGCTTTAATGAACGGCACCGGCCCTTAACACTGTCACCCTACGGCTGGAGATACCTCTGTGGGTGCTGTGTTTGTAGGTTGAAAGAGGTATCAGCTGCTACTGTACAGGGGCACCAATACGTCAGCGGGGACACCTCAACGTCCATCTACCTCTAGCTTTCAACCTCAAAGAACCACAACATTCACTTCAGACTGTCTACATCCCGTCATTCAAGTCATCTTCCATTGCATTCTGTATCATTTCGCTGGACGGTTTGGATCACGCAGTTAGTCGACTCGGAACCACCACATAGCTGTGAATCATACCAGCTTACCTGACCAATCCCGAAATCTGATCGACCCAGGTTACCTCTACCTACCTATCTATTTGACCATCTTTCCCCAGTATCTTCACAATCGACGGGAGCTGTTCAGACGATAAGAAGGAAACAAGACAACATGTTCTTCACAGGCACCCTCCAAGAAGGCATCGCTGCCGCTATTCAACAGACCAAGAGTGTGGTTTGTTTTGTTACCGGTTCGTTATGTTACCTGAAGTCATTTTGATTGACTAAGCAAACACTGACCTCATCCAGACGACAACACCGAATCCCAACAATGGGAAACCGACTTCTTCACTGATCAAGCCATCTCCCCTCTTATCGAGTCCAGTGCCGTGGTGCTGAAGCTCATCGCGGGCAGTACCGAGGAGGGGTATCTGGCCCAGTTGTTCCCTGTACCCAATAAGCCTACGGTAGTTGTTCTTAGGTGAGTTTATCTACCTTCTTGGGTCCTATGTATGACGAAAGAGGGAGGAGATGAGAGATGAAGGGGTGTTAACAATGAGATAGGGGCGGGCAACTCAAGGAGTACATTGCTGCTGGAGTCACCAAGGAAGACTTTTTGAGGAGGCTTGGGGCTGCTCTTAGTGAGCAACAGGCTGTTTCTACGGGTTCGGGTACTACGTCTGGCTCGCCCTCGGTGATGCAGGATCAGGATCAGGGGCAAAAGCAGGGACAAGAGCAGACATCATCGGAGTCGACGACAGCTCAACCACCGACGGCGGAGCAAAGCACAGCCCCGGCTGCTGCAACATCTACCGAGGCTACTACTACTACTACTTCTCAACAACCTCCCATCAGTGCCACTACGAACACCGGGCCTACAACCGCCTCCTCAGCATCACCTCCAGCCACAGCAACCACCACAACCACTCCCAACACGACAACTCAACAAGCCCAAATCCAAGCCATTCTTGCTGAGCGCGCCGTTCGTCTGGCCGCCCAGAAGAAACAACAAGAAGAAGCTACCCGCGCCGCCGCCCGTGCCCGCGCAGCGGCCGAAGACCCCAACTCTCCCGCCCGCCAAGCCGCCGACGCCCTGCGCAAGAAACAGCAAGAAGCGCGCGAAGAGCGCCAGCGGATTCTCAAGACCATCGAGGATGACAAAGCCGCTCGCAAGGCAAGGCAGTTGGAGAAGCAACGGGAGAAGGAAACACTACTCAGTAAGGAATCCGGCGAAGCTGCTGAGGACAAAAAGGGGAAGGGGAAGGGCAAAGCTAAGGAAGAAAGCTTGCCGTTCGCACCAGCCAGCCCCATGCTACCCCGCGGTAACCAACCCGTCAAGAGTATAGGGCATTGTGCGCTGCAAGTGCGGTTGACGGATGGGTCGACTATCCGGTCTCGGTTCTCGGCGGAGAAGGACACGGTTAGGGAGGTGAGGGAGTGGGTGGAGGCTACTGCCCCTAATGCTAAAAAGGGGAAGTATAGCTTCAAGGTGTTGTTGACGCCCCAACCGAGCAGGAGGATCGAGCAAGAGGATGAAGAAATGACGCTGGGCGAGTTGGGACTGGCGCCGAGCTCGACGCTGATTTTGGTTCCCACGACTGGTTCTTCTGGGTCTAGGAGGAGCAGGGTTCACTTTGCGGGCGGTGTGGCCGCCACAGAAGGAGGGGGGAATATCTTCCAGCGCCTGATTGGATTCGTGCTCGCCTTCTTCAACACGGTGGTGACCTTCTTCTCGACGCTGTTTAGTGTTTCTGGACCACTCAATGCCAGTGCTTCGCCGGAGCAGGTTGCTGCTGAGGTTAGGGGTGCGCAGCAGGCGGAGACGGCTAGTTCTAGTGGTAGGTCACTTGGTGGTGGTGGAAGCGCGGGTGCTGTTGTCAATAGGGGCACGACGACGACCGGAGGAAGCAGGATTAAGGGGTTTGGTGACGATGAGAGAAGAAGGGATGAGGAGCGGAAGAGGAATAACGATCAACAACAGCAGTTTTATAACGGGAACTCGGTAAGTAACACATGAACACATCCCTTTCACTGGCTTGAGTAGGAGATCAAGGACAACAGCTGACTGGAGACAGACAAACTTTGAGCCGAGACGTGATGATGATGATGGTGAGAACTAAGCCGTTGAAAGATTGCTGACAGGAAGGATGAGAAGACGTCTCTCGAGAACAAAGGGACGAAAAGAAAGAAGACAACACATCCTTACTACAGTCATCACGAGGCAGAGCGATGAAAACGACCAAGGCTAGTTTCCTCCTTAGAGGAAGGCAGAAATCTTGTGTTTATACAATTGTTTTTGTTGTGTTGTAATAACAGATACACCACCTTAGACCACCAATTCCTGAACTCCAATGCTGATGATGATATCTTGTTGTTGGTATATGTTGCTGCGTGTGCGCAAAATCCTTCTTTTCGAACTTCTTTTTCGACGAGAGGGGGGTGTCAGAAACGTAAATTGAGCGGCGTTCTTCCGAGACTCCCAAAAAGGCCGGCCACGTAAAACTTTGTGCTCCCCTCAACTAATCGTACACAACTCTCATTTCCAAACACCTTCTTCTTCACACCTCCCCTCTACTCTCCTCTTTTCTCCCCTTCATCTGCCCATTCCAGAGCCAGTGAGTGAAAAGGGGAGAAGCCTAGAGATCCAAAGAAGAGTTTAAGTGCTTAGTACTGGCTAGCAGCAGCCTGGCAAGCCTTGAGCTGCTCCAGGTACCAGCCGCAGATCTGCATGTTGCCCTGCTGCTGGTCCATGCACTGGGTGAAGCTCTTGGTGGCCTCGGCGCAGTTGTTGCCCCACGACGAGTTCTGGGCGGCAGCAGCCTGGGCCTGGACGGGCGCAGCGGCAGCGGCCTGTTCGGAAGAGCCGCCGCCGGAGAACATGCCGCCAATGGCGTGGCCGATGGAGGAGCCGATGGCGACACCACTGTTTTACAGACTGTTAGCATGTTTGCGAGGACCGGGCGGGAGATGGCTCTGGATTTGGAAATGGAAACAGGGACCCATGAAGGACAGGCAGGGAGGGGAAGGTAAACACTTACGCAGCAGTGCTAGCCATCTGGCCAAAGAGACCAGGACCCTGAGAGACGGCGGGCGCGGCAGCAGCGGGGGGAGCGTGAGGAGCGGCGGTGGGAGGAGCGTAGGTGGAAGCAGGGCGTTGCTGCTGCTGGTTGGTAGGGGCCGCGGGCCTGCGAGCAGGGACGGAAGGGCGAGCGGAGGAACCACGGGATTGGCGAGGCATTTTGTCTGATTTGTTTGGTTGGGTTGCGTAGATTAAAGCGACCGACGTTTTGGCGGTTTTAGTGAAAGCGGTGGTTGTTGAGGAAGAGTGCTGTTGTGGTGGTGGTGACGATGGGAGATGGGGAAATGGGATGGGATGGGGATAAGCAATGATATAAAAGACAGGTACAATCAATCTATCGGCAAAAAACTAGTGGGGAATGATCAGCCGAAACCGTGAACGGGCGACATTTTGCCATCACATTTGCGACCCGCGGGATCTCCAATTGCGACTGCGCCCGCTCGCCCTCAGCTCTTCCCCCCTCCGCGCCGGCCGAGGCCCTGAAAGCCGAGACGACAGCTCCGAGCTTGGACCCCTGTTTCCCCTGTTAAGATCTCTTTTGGGGCAGTTTGGGGCCTTTTTTCGCTCTTTTTGGGGCGATCGTGAGCTGAACTGGAAGCCAATCGAAGGCCAGAGAGCAAATATCGTTGAGGCTTGTAGGGCGCGTGACCAGCAACGGAGGGTTAGGGTTGTAGCAGCATGTTTACTATGTAGATTCTTTCAGGGGTTTCGATGATCAACTTCTCAGTTCTATGGAGATATTTTGGAGGAGGTTAAAGTATTTGAAACTGTCTATCCGTGACTCAATTACTCCGGCTTCTAATTCCTTTTCCCTCATGACAACCTCAGATCGGTTGCCTCCTCTATCTCCCATGAGGTGTATCCTGATGTTTCCTAGGTCATGAATTGCCCCTTCTCGAAAAGAAACTAGCAACGTAGTGTGTCCCGCCACATCGATTTGCTGGGACAAATATCTTATCCAGTCATGGTTCATGTTCGAAACTCCGGCTGGTGGGTATCTCAAGTGGCCAACACACACAGAACTCCGGCGGCCGCGGGTCTGGCTCCGGGCAGACGATTTCCGGTTTGATGTGTTCGTGTTGGCCTTTCCGCGGCCTCGCGAAGCGCAAAAGAACAACGCACGGCATGCCTCATGTAACGGGCCTGTTCAGACGAAGCCCCGAAGCGCCATGCCAAAACGTGGCGCCGTGGTCATGGTCGTCGCACAATAACTCAACAAAGAGTGCAGTGTGCGCAACTCTCACTTTTTCTTGTTGCCCTTGGTCTTGGGACGTTTGGCAATAGGCTCGGAGCCCGAATCTGCTGCCCTCTTCTTCTCCTCCTTCGCCTCTGCCTTGGCCTTCTCTTTGGCGATCAGCTCTGTCAACTTCTGCTTGATGGCCTCGTCATCGGCCTGTGTGTCTGTTAGCGTGTTACCCAACAGCGAAATCCTTGATGAATTTCCATACCAAGTCAGATCTGATGAAGCGGGCAGCGGCCTCCTTGTTGACCGTCTGCTCACGCTCCTGGGGCGGGTTCTCAATCTTCTGAATCTTCTCAAAATACTGCCTGACGCGGGTCAACTCTGTGAAAATGGCATGCTCTTTGGCGTCAACACTGTTCAGACGTAGTGATGCTGTTATATGGGTTAGCAATGGATTACTTTGAAGGGACAAGATTTGACTAACAGAAGAGCATCGACTCGATGGCATAAGTCACCATGACATAGAGCTTGGCCTTGTCCAAAAGAGGAAGCTTGGAAGATACATCACCGACATCACCGAGAACGGGCTTAAGAGCGGCTTCTAGCTGGTCGAGATCGACGTTGAGCTTCTCCAGCGAGGGGGTAATGTCGGGCACATCCATGACTGAGATCGGCTGATGTGAATGATGAGTAATATCGGGGAGTCTGGTAATGGCGGAGAGGAAGACTTCAATATTAAAATCCAGATATGATGAGGCGACGGTTTGTTGACATTTGGTGGTGTTTTGATGAACAAAGATGCGAATCTGGATGCAAGTGAGGAAAGCGGCTCCACACAGTTGCGAACCGTTCAAGTTGCACTTTTTTGGTTCCAGATCTTGGGATCCACATTTGCGACAAGCCTTCCACAGTGCGGTGCCAAGACCATGCTATGGCCGAGCAAGCCAATCAGAGAAGTGCAGTTTCTCTTCTATGATCGGTTAGCGTGACAGTGTATCAACCGCAGGCGCGCTCCCGAGAAAAAAAAAGTTTTGGCGGCCATTGAACTTTTTGATCGGAAGGTTGTCTTGACAAAAATCATCGTCATCCGGCAACCGAATTCAGCTAGTCTTTATACCGCAAAACCACCACCTCCACCACTTTCAACAACACCGAGTCTCCTCCCAAAACCACCCGCCTCTCCCTTCTCGCCCCTGGTCTCTCCCCAGGTCCTCAATGCTCCCGCGCGGGACATAAAATCCTGACAGGACCTCTTGCGACAGGTCCTCCGGCGGGGTTTCTGCACCACCACGATAAAGCCATATCATGAGCTCCCGGTGTCATCCGTGAAAGCCGCCAACCTGTATTCCTTTACCGGCAGTCGACCGCACTTGCGGGTGTTTGGGCGAATACCCTGCAGCCACACACGATGGTGTCCCAGTAACACCTCGGTGGGCCGGGGGGCCAGCGCAAGCGGTTTCCGTTTCATCCAGCATCCTGATGTCCAGATGCGGTCCTTCGTCGCTACATCGATGCCCCTCCTCCGCGACTTCATCCCCCGAGCCAACCACCCGCAAGTTGCGCCGCACCCTCTGCAGCAGCAGCAAACACGACCGGCCTCGTCAAAGGCACACCCCCCTTCGGCTACAGCGTCGGCTACACCGGATGCCCAGGTCCCAACGGAAGACGAGCCGAAAACAGTTTTGAATAGTCAGAGTGAACCAGAAGTCGCCAAGGAACAATACCGAAACACGACCAAGGAGTTCTTCGACAAGCTGGAAGAGGCGGAGCGGTATGATCAAAGATTGGCAAAGGCGGTCCGAAAAGAGGGCGAGAAGAAGCCATGGACTGATCTATTCAAACCGACGGACCAGATTCACGTTATGGGACTCAACATCCAGGGACGATACGTTGCACACACGCTAGCCGGCGCCGAGACGATACCGCCGCCGATTTTCATGATCAACCGATGGAATCTGCTCATGAGATGGAATGAAGCGGGAAGGTGCTTGAAGCTTCACAGGGAAAAGCAAGTCATTGTCCGCGACAGGATCAGGGCACAGTTCACGCCGCCAATCTGTGGCCCTCATCCGAGGAAGGAGAAGGACACCCACATCAGCAACCTCGTAGTGACTGTTCCAGCCGGGCACACGGTCGAAGCCCTCGGCCAAATCAGCCACCGGCTTGACCACAACTCGACCATTGTTTTGATCCAAGAGGGACTGGGTGTCGCCGAGTCTATCTGCAAAGCCTACTTCCCTATCGAAAGCCAGCGGCCCGTGTTTATCCTTGGCCACTTGACGACCCGTTTGGGCCTGGGCGACCAGACATTTGAGTTCGGTGAGGTGCGACCTGGAAGGCTCTTCCTGACTGTCTACACCCCCCACTCAGACAATATCGGCCCACTCGCACCCATTGTGATCAAGAAGCACCCGCCCACTTTGTGGCAACGAAGGGGAGCGCATCTACTCAAGCTTCTCACATCGATTCCGGAACTCAATGCTACCGGTCACCGAACGGACGAGTTCTTGCAGATGAAGCTACCAGCGGTGGCGTTCCGAGCGGTGGCTGATCCCCTGGCGACGATTCTGGATTCCACCTACGACAAGATCCCCGAAAACCCGAACGCGCGTGAGCTCATGGACAGGATGCTTTCCGAGGTTGCCGATGTGGTTTCCCACTTGCCCGAGCTGAAGGGCCTGGAGCAGTTCCGGGTCGCCAATGCCCTACCGTTCATGCGGTCGGAAGTGTTCCACAGGTTGAAGAGAAAGGGAACCGCCGACGTTCCCATGCGCAGGTTGACTTCCATGGGTCTGGACACGGATATCGGCTACGTTACGGGCTACTTTGTCATTCGCGGCAAGATGTTGGGGGTACCGGTGAAGGCCCTAGAGAGTCTCTGGTCTGCCGTCAAGGCCAAGCAGCAGGTTCTAGCAGAGAGGAGGAAGAGGTATGTACCCTTTGAGGTTCCGTTCCAGCCAACACTTGTTCCTCATACTCCGGAGCCATGGACCAATTACCCCGACAGGGTCTGGCCTGAACCCCTGAAGAACCTTCTCAACAAGATCAGGTGATGATGTATAGATCATGGGATGTATCACATACCAAATTTTACTGCAAATACATATAGAAAGGGATAAACAAAATCATGGCGACAAAGGGTGTTTCGGCGGAGGTGACTGGTTTGTTGCGAATAGAATCATCCTGTACATAGCTGTATTTCTAGTTTTTGCATATGAACATCATGACCTCAATATCTGGTCTAATACTGTTGCTGAGAGTGTATCCTATGTTTTCCATAGCCGCGCTGACTCGGGCTTTTCAAGTTCCCATTCTGGAGGTAAAGATGCCTCCATCAAACAGCCATGTACGTTCTGCTATGTAAACAATACCGTTTGTAATACCCTATTGTGACCCCTGATAGGATCCAGAACATACGTAACTTATCGCTATAAGCTGCCCCACCAAAAACTTCCCTCAAGACGGGACCTTACCCCAAGCAACCCCGCGATCACCGTGCTTCATCATCGCAACAACCTAAACTGTCTACAACAACCAAAAACCTCTTACATTGTCGTACGACCACACACTAGAACCCTTTATTCAACTATCAATCCAGTCGCCAACCTACCGCGAATCCAACTAAACCATCAAAAATGGACGACTCCGAGCTCGACAAGGTGCGCATCCCATCCATCACCCTATCACCCTTCAACCGCCAGCCAGCCAGCCAGCGGCGCAACGCAGCTTCACATGCGGTAGCGCGAATGACACCTTGATGGCCACGCGCCGTAACTACAACACATTCATACTAACCATTTAACCCCTTCACAGATCAGAAAGGCCCGTCTCGAACAGCTCAAGGCGCAAGGCGGCAGCGGCGGTGGTGGTCCCAAGGCCGGCGGCGGTCCCTCTGGCGCTGGTGGACAGGGTGGTCAGGGAGATAATAGGCAGTATGTTTATGTCCTCATCTTCCTTCCCGTCCCTAGTTGCCGTTCTATTCCTTTCCCCTTTACCCCCCTTCCCTTCTCTCTCCCCTCTTACAAACTTACCAATGCAACAACCCACTAAGCACCCCTTCCCCAAACCAACAGACAAGAAGCCGAAGCCCGCAAAGCCATGCTCAACCAGATCCTCATGCCCGAAGCCGCCGACCGGCTGGGCCGCATCCGGCTCGTCAAGGAGGAGCGCGCGACCGACATCGAGAACCGGCTGATCATGCTGGCGCAGACGGGCCAGCTGCGGTCTAAGGTCACCGAGGAGCAGCTCAAGGAGCTGCTGAACGCCATGTCGGATAACAAGGAGGAGGAAAAGATTGTGGTGTCGAGGCGGAAGGGCTGGGGACTGGATGATGATGATGATGATTTGTTTGATATCTAGGTCTAGAAGGAGGAGGTAGTGGTCTGGAGGTGGCCTGGAGGTGGCTAGGAAAGGAGGAGGATAGGATAGGAGGGAGGTTAGGATAGGAGGGAGGTTAGGATAGGAGGGAGGTTAGGATAGGAGGGAGGTTATTACGGATGGAAGCTTGAGCAAGGGCATCAGAGTCCTTGGGAGGAGGGAGAGACAAGGAAGTTTCACGGCTTTAACAGATTTTAATGGCATTATCGGTTTTATTACGGACCACCTACCAGTCCAATTCCAAGTTCAGAAGCATGGCAGTTGTGAAGAGAAAGTGTGGTTGTGGTCTCCTTAGGTCCTTGGGGTATGAATACAATATGTTCTACATTGGTTTCACAAAGGGGACATGTCCGTCCGTCCCCCAATGATGCAACGAGGTCCGTCTATACCTTCATAGACGAAGACCCAACCACCTCCCCAACCTTCTCAACAACCTCATCCTTCATCTCTTTCACCCTCTCCGCTACCACCTCCGCCTCCTTCTCCGCCTTTAGAAGGACATCATCCTCCGGCCCACCGCGTCCGCTCCCACTCATCATCCTCTCCATCTCCTTCCTCCTCCTCCTCTCCTCCCTCTCCCTCTTCCTAATCTCCCTCAAATCCGGTGGCGGCTCCACGCCCAGCTCCCTCCTTAAATCATCCACATCCCTCTCCAGCTCCTCCTCCCAAAACACATTAATCACCTCCTTGGCCTTGAGGCCATTCTTGACCGCCCAGGGAAGGTAAATGTCCCTGAACCGCTTCTGCTCGCTCTTCTTCATGGTAAACGCCGCAAACACGCTAAACCCCGTCATGGGCAGCAGGGTGTTGGCGAACTCGAACGCTTTGAGCGCCACCTCGCCCTCGCGCACGATCGGCAGGCCCGTCAGCGCATGGTAGAAGTCGTGGCACTCGCGGTACCGCTGCATCACGTACGCGCACTCCTCATCGTCGATGTAGCGCACCGCCGACCGCGTGTCGGGCGAGACACCCTCGCGGTCCAGCCAGTCGATGTAGGTCCGTCCGACCGTGTTGGGCGGCAGCGAGCGCAGGTACGGGATGTTGAGCGATTGCGAGGTGATGCGCGGCCGGAGACGCAGGATGCGCCGCCCCGTGGGGTGCGAGAGCATGGCGTCGCGCAAGCGGTAGATGAAGTAGGGGGTTGCGGTGGCTTCGGCGAAGGAGGCTATTAGGTCTGTTTGTGTTGTAAAAAGGGGTGATTAGTTGAAGAGGTCAAGTGGTGGGAGATGGACAGGACGAGACGGACCGCCGCGCCGTGGGTCGGCGAGGGAGATGAGGCCTGAGCCGACGAAGAGGCCGAACCGCTCGAGGCGAGTGAGAGGGACATGGCCAGGGTAATTTGGTGGTGGCCGGTTGAGGGCGGAGAATTGTCTTGTTTGTTGATGTGTCTGGATCTGGGTCTGTGGTGGTGATGCTGTGCTGCTGCTGGTGATGGCGGCGCATACGGCTGGCCGGATCGCATTCTGGGTGCTGGCGCGAGCTACGAGAGCCGCGGAGCGTCTGAGAGCCGTCGCTTCCATTTTGAAGCAGAGAGAGTTGGAACACCTAGGAACAAGCCCTAGCGTTGAATAAGGGAATTGATTGACGCGGAATGCGCAATTCCTCCAGAGCTTGAAGTGGTTGTCAAGGTGTAAGTGGTGGTTCGATCCGTTCGGATGCGGGAGCCGAGCATGTACAATTGCGATAACGATCCCGCGATAAGGACTTACGTAGGGGCAGCGGTACAAGGTAGCTCAAGGTGAGGGGACCTTCGGGTCGGTGAGAGACGAGAGGTGTGCCAGCTGACCGAAGGGGAAGATAAATACAGTAAAATACACACAGCGTAACGACGTAAGTTTCGCCAGATCTGGTCTTGACAACCACTGAACGATCCTAGACCTCATGCAAGGGACCAACCAGTGACGCTTGAACAACACCTGAAGAGGAAATCAGGCTTTCAAGTGGGACGTCTGATCGTGAATCATAGTCTATCCAAACAGGTATGTAAGCGAGCAAAGGGAACGAACGGGTGGAAGGTTTCAGCCGAACAGAGAATGCAGTGAAACCCTGGGGTTTATGGTATGCCTTTGCTCTTGCCCTCACTTACACGTTCTTGGTTTAATACATCTCATCTTTTGTCCTTCTTCCATTTATTTCACCTTTGCTCTTTCTTGCGAAGCTTTGACTACGTCAATTTTCTCCCATTGTAACCACACATTTCCGGTATCTAATCAAAATGGCGAAAAGGAAACGTGAAACAGCAGGAAAAGGACAGAATAATAAGAGGACCGCTCGTGGGAAAGCCAAGAATAAAGCATCGAAAATGGAAGCATACGAAGAGTTGCTCGTATGGGCAAAGGACAAGGGCATCATCCTCAACGGTGTTGAGCCCCGAAGGATACTAGGCCGAGGAATGGGAATCGTGGCTACCAAACCACTCAAGGCAAGTAAACTCATTTTACATCATGTCAGGCAACTGCTTAAAATAGGTAGCTAACATGGTCATTAGGAAAACCAAACCATCCTGACAATTCCCTCCAACACTCTTCGGACATATGAGACCGTCCACCCTTCCATAGCCTGTGCACTTCCGGACATCTCCATCCATGGCCTCCTAGCCGCCGACCTTGCCTTTGACCCATCTCCCTCCGTCAAATACCAACAATGGAACGCCGTATGTCCTACGCGCGAGGATGTCTGGGACTCTCTGCCTTTAGCATGGGATTGCCGGCTGCGAGAGTTCTTGCCTAAGAAGGCACTGGAGTTGCTTCTGAAGCAAGAGGCCAAGTTTGAGAAGGATTGGTCCATGGTTCAACAGTCTAAACTTCTCTCTCCAAAGTCCGGTGAGAAAGAGGACGAGAGCTCGGAAGAGGAGGAAGGTCAAAAACTGAACAAGACCATAACAAGAGACGACTACCTCTACGCCTGGCTTCTCGTCAACACCCGTACCTTCTACCACGAAACACCCAAGACGAAAAAGTTCAAAAAGGAGGACAAAATGGTACTACAACCAGTCGCAGACCTGTTCAACCACACCTCCTACGATCCATCCGCCGAAGAGAAGGAAGGTGGCAACAAGAAAACTTGCTCAGTCGCCTTCTCCCCCACCGCTTTCACCATCACCACCACCCGCCCCTACTCCGCCGGCGAAGAAGTCTACATCTGCTACGGCAACCACTCCAACGACTTTCTTCTCATCGAGTACGGATTCCTCTTTGACGAAAACGTCTGGGACGAAGTCTGCATAGATGATGCTATCCTCCCTTTACTCGAGAAGTTCCAACTACCACCCTTGACCACCCAACCACCAAAGAAACCAGCCCGACGCTTAAACGAACGAGGCAAAAAAGATCCCAAGTCACAAAGCACTGAAAAACAACCACCAAAGTTCCCCAAAGACCTCCTAGAAGAAACCGGTTTTCTGGGGAACTACAACCTCGACCCCCGCAACCCCACAGGCTGCTACCGCACCCAGGTTGCTCTTCGCGCCATCTCCGCCCTTTCTTCGTCTACAGTTGTCCCTCCTCCTCCTCACCCCACAGTTGTCCCTCCTCCTCCTCACCCTCCTCCTCCTCCTCCTCCTCCTTAACTTCTCCTCAAGCTCAACAAGGCGAAAAGAAGTTCCGCGCCTTCGTCGACTACGGCCAAGATCCCTGGGAGGAATCACCCGAGGAGCAAGCGAAGCTTAATGCGATGTTGGCGCAGGCGCTGAGGCAGTGGAGCGGGGATGTCGTTGGGAAGAATATGAAAGTGCTGGAGGGGTTGGGTAACTTGGAGTGCAGGCAGGGACGTGAAGGGGAAGGGGAAGGGGAAGGGGTAGTGGGGAGGGAATGTCATAGAGACACGTTGTTGATGAGGTGGAGGCAGGTGGGGAGGATGGTTGATAGGGCTTTGGAGGAACTTGAGGGTTAGGGGTTGAAAGACGACAGACTTTGGGGGAGTGGGAGGAGAGGATGAAGGTATGGGAGATAAACGTCAGAAAGGTGGTATAAGCCATGAAGAAATGGGTGACTTGAAGAATAAGTAGTCCTCCTGCTGGGTCTGGACGAGGGGATAAGCAAAAGAACATTAAACCAGGGGGGGCTAGAAGTAATTGTTGGCCATGCTCCCGTGGTTGACAACGAACGACATGCAAATATTTCAGTCAGGATGGATATTCATATCGATATGTTCATGGTGACCATGATCGATGGTAGGACGGAGTTTCTCCAACACCAGAGCCTTTGCTCCTTTCCCTTGCCAGCATCGAGCACCCGGTATCCAGCGCCTGCCACCCGCGACCTAACGAGCCCTCCGTCGAATCCGGCATCAAACCGGCAGACACGGTCGCCCCTTCTGTCCCGTGTCGAGCATCCGCCCAGGCGGCCCCAGCCGGTGGTCGCTCCTGTCCTTATAACCCCCAGCTCGAGGCTCTTCAGTCACCACATCCAGTCTTCCAACACACCGTCCCAAGCGGGTGGTCCGTTGGTGTAACAGTTTAGCACACAAACCCCAACCCATACTTTCCACACACAAAAGTTCCGGTATGACCCTTGGCCACCGTATACGAGAGGTTCCCTGTTCGATTCCCGACCCAAGTCAATCACGCCCCGAATCCTCGACGAGGTTTGCTACCTCGATCGAACTATTCCCCATAGTGACTTGACGCCCCAAGGGTACGGAGTCTCGATGCAGTTGAGAACATGCACATAAGATGCAACTCGCCGGTAGATTTTCCAGGCTTGGTCATGATCATAGATGCCCTCGCAGGCCCGGCTTGTGTGAAGAAGAAAAAGTTGCAAGGAAGGAGAAAGACCTGAATTGTACATGCGTGACTAAAATTCCGACCGTATGAGGAGGGCGCTGGGGCTTAATTCGATCCGATCACACTCACTGGTGGACGCACCGGGTGCCTGTCGTCGGGGACGGGTAAGTCCTGGGCTCTTCTTCTACCGTCGGGGTGTTAGGCCTCCTTATCTGGCGAGAAGTAATGGCATATTTTGGTGGACGCATCATGGTATGGCACCACCGGCCTTGGTGGACTCACCGAGGCTCGTGGGCCGCTTCGATGATACCAGATAGGAGAGCGGGTGGGTTGAAGTTGAGATACCTGTTCGAATCAGGTGCGGATTTCGGAAGACACTATTTTTTGCCCTTTTTCAGTTTGGTTTTGGGTTTTTCTTTTTCAATAACTTGTGTTCGACTCATGAAACAGCATTTTTGTAACAGTCAGTACAAACGTCTGTCTTTGCTCGCCTTGCTTTACTACTGAGTAGCCTCGCTCCTCGATGGGCGGGCTCCATGTCTTCCGTTAGACGCGCGCAAGGTTCGGGTATATATGTATTGCGTACGGCTGAGGGAGTGAGTGTATGACAAGAACGCCAGGACGGGCCATGTTTCTAGCCTGGTATAGTGATCCTACGAAGCTCATACGACGATAGAAGCCTGTGCAGGATGTTTTCTGTGACGGTTTAGTTCTCGTGGCTTATGCACCGTCACGGCTTTGTCGTTCTTCCATTGGAGTCTCATCCCACACACTGCTGCGCAGCCTTATCATTTTTGTGCTTGAGAGGGTGGGAGTTAGGCGCCCGGAGGTCCTAGAGTGTGTGGTTTATTTGCATGATGGGTGTTTCGGATGGTAGGAGGCTCCGAGTGCCTGTCAAGTTAAGTGCCGGATGTTGTTCATATAGGATCTCACCTTTCCCAGCATCTCCGGAGTTTGTTCCGCCATCTTTGTTGTATCTTCAACGGGTTGCCGCTGTCGTTGATCATATATCACTTACTTTCCGATTTTTGACGACCCTGTTTTACGACTTCACGAACCTGCAATCTTCTCAGTTCGGCTTGTGGCAACTCTCTCTACGCCTTGATTTTCGACTGGGTCGACTGGGAACAGCAAATACAGAGACGAAAGGAGGTCTACCGAGGATTGGCGGTCTCTGAGGTCTTTTACTGCACATGTCTTCATCACTTATCGTTGAACAGCCGTCACGGTCCTTAGAGTCTCGGACGTAAGGGTCGCTAACCAACTTGTAGAGCACTCGATCAAAATCAGTCGATGGTCATACAGCTCACGACAGAAGCATGGATCCTGCTTCTTTGATAGGACTGATCATAGGACTTGTGCAAGCAGGAAATGGGATCATCAAAGGTTTCGATAAACTGCGCGACCTCAAGGAGGCGCCCGGCGATGTGGCAGCATTGGCGAATGAGGTGTGTTTCCCCTCTTTGCTTTTCTTTGAAATGGGTGTGATATAATTGACATGTGTTGCTATACGTGCAGATTAGGGACCTCCAATTAGTGTTCGACATGATGGAAGGCTATCTCGCCACTCAGCAAGCTGCTCGGGTCACACCAACAGTGCCATCCTTGGAGGAGGAAAGTGCGGGGCAGGACGGGCAGGATGGGCAGAATCCCGGACAGAACGAGGAACGTCTTCAGCGGCTGTTTGATCTGACGGAAAGAGCTCATAAGACGCTGCGAGACCTTGTTGAGCTGAAGGAAAAAGTGTCTGGCACCGCCATATCGGATAAAAGGGGCAAGCAATCCGTCTCGAGACTCGTGTGGGTCTTCAGAGATAAAAAGAAGGCCGCAGAACTGTGCCAAAAGGTCAGACAGGACAAACAGAACTTGTTCACGGCTATTTCAACTTTGATCTATGCGCAATTGTAAGCAACCAGGCATCCTCAACCCGATCAACTTGATCAGCGCTAACGGACACTGACTTGCCTCGTCAGGAACAAATTACCAAGAATCTTCCTGACAGTGGAGACGACGGTCCACGAAATCAAAGCCATGATGGTTGCCCAATTTGGAGGTTCTTGTTCCCCATATTCTGCCAACGAAGCATCGAATGAAACCTCCGCAGACCTCGAAAAAGCCAGCTGGGGTACCGGCTACACGATGACAAGTATTACTGCCTTCCAGGCCAAGACCAAGTGCAAGATGGGGTGCCCATGCCGATGCCACATCAAAACTGGGGTCCAAACTCCCTCGTGGCTCAAGAGTGTTGTTGGTACGCTCTTTGTGAGCTACACCGGCTCACCGCTTTGGGGGAAACTTCCCTGTGATCATAAAAAGTGCGAAGCCTCCGACAAGGGGACCAAAGCAATGACGACCTACACCTATCACTTCCCGACCTGGCTGGTATCGCGCGCCTTGACCTTCTCACTTGAGAAAAAGACCCTCCAGGGCATCAATGGCTCGTGGACTCTTCACATTCCCAAGATGTTGACTGACAAGGAACCTGTATGGAGAATCCTCGACCATGGAACCGTACAGCAGCTTGCTGGGATCCTAGGCCAGGGGCAGGTGTCGCCTTGCGACATGAACCCAGATGGAAAGTCTCTCTTGCATGTAAGTAAACCTGCTTCCCAAGCCTCGTCTCGGGTTCATCGCGGACTTCTCAGCTGACATAACCCCTTGCAGTTTGCTGTCGAGTTTGAACGACCCGACATGTGCAAATACTTGCTCGAACAGGGTGTGAACAAGAATTTCGAGGATCACGCCGGTGTATCTGCCTCCGCGATGGCCATTGAGAAGGTTGCGCCTGCATCTTCGGCTGCCTCTCGGATCAAGACTCTCTCCGAGATCCGCCGCATGTTTGAGGATGACGACCTGTTGGAAACGCTCAACTTCCCGCCTTTGCACCTCGCCTTGTTCAGAACCCTGGAGAATCCCAATCTCTTCGCCCAGGTTCTCGAGTTCAACCTTTCTTCACTCGACGCGATTGATTCCTTTGGCCGCACCGCACTTGCGTGGGCCGCTGCCCTCAACAGCCCAGCCATCACCAAACTCCTGCTCGAGTCTGGAGCTGACACGAGCATCGTGGATAAGAACAAGAAGACGGCGCTTCACTGGGCTATGAAGTCCCAATCGACAAAGGTTGCTGAACTGTTGCTCGAGAACGGAGCCGATGTCGAAGCCCGCGACATCTTCGGGCGAACGCCGTTGCATGAGGTTTCAAAGGTCTCTAATAGTGAACACCTCATTGAACTTCTCCTTACCAAAGGCCAGGCCGTTGTCTGGCGGCGGCTCATGGCCGGGCGGAAAATGCTGCAGCGCTGGTAGAGCACGGCAACGCCAACCTCGAAGCGATGACCAAGACGGCAAAGCGGACGCCGCTTTTCACTGCCATCACATACGGCAAAGAGGCGATGGTTCGGATGCTGTTGAGCCTTGGGGCCAGGATCTACACGGTTGACAACACCGGGCAAGATATACTGCATGAAGCGGCCAAGATGGGGAGTGCGGGTGTAATAGAGGCACTGAGGGACTTTGTCATGAAGCTGAATGAGGCGGAAGAAGGGCATGATGATATCCAGCTGGAGGCGGATATGGCTGACGACTCTGGGCGATCCCCTTTGCAGTACTTTGAGTGGTGGAGAAAAGACTACAATCCGCATAAGGAGGGCGAAGAGAAGGCAGAGAGAACATTCCGTGAGTTGATAAGAGAAGTTCGTGAGTTGAGTGCGAAACGGGCGTCGAGGGTGGTCCTGCTGGACAGTAGTGACTCGGAGGAGAAGACTCGGTGGCTCGTGGACCTGGAACAGGGCATTGAGAAGGCGAAGGTGGATGTGAGCGTCGTCAAGATTTCCGTTTGATTTTGGCCCGGCTGGAATTGGTTATGAAGCTATGAATGTACACTCTCATATTGTTGTAGGTTATGAATGCCATGATGATGATAATCATGTCGTTGAAGCAGGACCAGATGGTGGTGGAGATGTGAGATTCTGGGGGAACCTTGGATGTTTGAAGGGTCTCGACGGAGGTCCAGAAGCACAAGTATTTTAGTGGGTCATTTCTCCACTGTTTCTCTGTCACTGCAGCGGACAGCCCCACCAATGCGGGATAAGCTCCACGCGCTGCGACTGGAAGTGCAGGACCCCAATTCTTATCCTTCTCCGCCTTTGCAATTGAACCGGCAGAAAAAAAAAATCGGGGAAAACAAGGCTCTCCGTCCTTCCTTCCCTTTCCCATTTCCGTGAAACGACCCAGAACTTTGTTAAGAACGGTCATCTCTTTCGATCTTGCCGACGGACCAAATCAATCAAACAACACTTTCCCATATTACACGAAAAAAAGCAGAACCAAATCAGTCAACATGGGCAAGTCTTCGAAGCGCTCCCGCGACACCGCGGAGGACGTCAACTCCATCGCCATCGTCAAGAAGAGCAAGGTCGACGAGTCTGGCAAGGCCGAGGTCACCAAGGTCGAGACTGAGGCTCCTACCAAGGTGAAGAAGGACAAGAAGGAAAAGAAGGAGAAGAAGGAAAAGAAGGAGAAGAAGTCCAAGTCCGAAACTACCGAGGAGGAGCCCACCGCCAAGGAGGAGAAGAAAGAAAAGAAGGACAAGAAGAAGGACAAGAAGGAGAAGGACAAGTCCGCCCCCGCCGCTGAAGAGACCAAGGCCGAAGAGTCCACCACCGACAAGAAGAGCAAGAAGGATAAGAAGAAGGACAAGAAGAAGAACAAGGAGTCCAAGACAGCCGAGGAGGAGAAGGAGCCCAAGGAGGAGAATGGCGAGGAGAAGGAGGAGGAGGAGGAAAAGGGCGCCAAGGGATCCCGCTTCATCATCTTCGTCGGCAACATGCCCTACTCGGCCACCGCCGACACCATCAAGGAGCACTTTGCGTCGGTGCACCCCATCTCGGTCCGCCTGCTCACCCACCGCGACCAGCCGACCAAGTCCAAGGGCACCGCTTTCGTCGAGTTCGGCCGCTTCGACCACATGAAGACGGCGCTCGAGAAGTTCCACCACAGCGAGATGTTGGATGATAAGGGTGTGCCGAGGAAGATTAACGTTGAGTTGAGGTTTGTTTTTCCGTCCCCGTTCCTGGTCCCCTCTCTTTCCCTACCCTCAGCCCTTCACCCTGATTCAATGCAACCGGCACGATGCTAACATATAATCCAAAACAGTGCCGGCGGAGGAGGCAAAACCGCCCATCGCCAAGATAAGATCAAGGAGAAGAACCGCAAGCTCAACGAGGAGCGCTTGAACCGCCAGCAGAACCAGGAGAAGGCCAAGATTGAGAAGGCCGCCAAGAAGGCCGAAGCTCCTGCCGATGGCGCTGCTGCTCCTGCTGCGCCCGAGAGGAACGACGAGGATGCTATCCACCCTTCGAGAAGAGCGCGCGTGGACTTGGACGGCACCGGTGCCAATGGTGGTGACGATGAGTACGATGATGGTGGATATGGTGGTGGTGGCTTTGGTGGTCGTGGTCGCGGTGGCGGTCGGGGACGTGGTGGAGGTCGTGGACGTGGCGGTCGTGGTGGTGGTGGCCGTGGCCGTGGTGGTGGTGGTTTCAAGAAGTGGTAGTTGGATTCGCTTTTGCGAGGGTTTGAGGGGTGGTGGAGTGATGAAGTGATGGCGGGCAACGAGAACTGGAAAACTCCGGCTGGTTTTGATCTGGGCCGGGGTCGAGAAGCGCCTGGGCTGGGGCTTTCTGGATACGCATTGAAAAAGCTATGCTTTGCTTTGTCTAGAGAGAGAGAGCGCGCGCGCGTCTGGAGCCTTTGCTTGGGTAACTTCAGTTGGTTCTGGTTACTTCGTGGGTCCAGTGTTCCTTATTTTTCCTTTGTACATGTCATTATCAGCGTGCTCTTCCATGTTTTGTTTATACTACTTTTACTACATACTGTTGCATATTCGCGGTTCCGACCGATGTTAGGAACATGTTAGACACACATTTTTATCCATGGAAAAGGGGGAAGGAAAAGGGGAATGGAATGGATCATACGTATCAACTTCAGGTGCTGATTCAAATGATGGATGAGAATTTAAACGACGAGGACATTTTATGATACCCTAGTCTTGGTATGTGTTTATTGGATTGTCGAGCCTTTATCTTCGATAGATAAAAGCCAACCCAAGAGAAACAAAGTTAGAATAATTTGTCATGCTATTGATTGTACTTATCCTGTTCTCCTTCCTCGACCTCACCTCATGACCGCTACGCCTCTCCAATATCTTCCTCTCAATACTCAACTCTTTCAACCTTCTTTCGTCACCAGCAGGCGCCCTGGACTTGTTTCCAAACATCAACTCCGTTCGCCGTATCGTATCGAACTAACCACAAGAAATCACCTTTCTTCCCTTACCCTAGCTTCAAGTTCACAGCTCTGGTTCGTTTGCACTGTAGACCGATAGATAGATAGCTTGACAGTATCTGATTATACCGGCCCTTCCATAGCTTTAGTAGCCCGTATCCCCGGTTGTTTGTTGTTTTATCTGATCACCAGGGTACCATCAGATGAGTGTGCCTCTAGTATTAACACTTTACACCACACTGTACCTTCAAACTATTCTCTTCATCTCCACATCACCGCTGTTTGTTCAAGATCGAAGGAAAGCTCAGAGAGATGGTAAATAGATATGGACATTGGAGAGTGACAAGGTGCTTGTAGTTTTGTTCACCATCAAGTCATCTTTAATATTAGATAAAGTGTAGGTGAAAGCAGTAACTGGTGGCGGTTAGGTCAGAGAAACTCTATACGGATGGATCACCTTTCATTTGTCTCTGTTTTGTCTCCTTAGTTCATTCTCGAATAAGATCAAGTACGAGATGCGCAAAAACCTCGGGTGGTGGCTAGAGTGAAGCAGCACCAGAACTTTCGATTTCGATGTAAGAGTCCCGACAGACTACAAACGTGGTGAACATGAACTGATTTATCCCCCATGAAGAATGCACAAAAAGCAGTGGACGGACTTGATCTGAACTAATTTGCATATCACCCTCGATCTAGCCTACCGAACTACAACTGCAATCCGCTTCATCCCAGTCCTACTCTTTCCTCTTCCCGCTCTGTCTAGCCCTCCCTTCCTTCCACTATACGTATCCTCCTCCTCCCCACCTCCAATCTTCCCAACTTTTCCTCTTGTATATTTGTTCTTCTCGAACGAGAAATTGTACCAAGGACCGACAACACTTCAGAAGCATCCTTGCTCCCTCCTTCTCTCCCCTCGTCCATACCCGCCCCGCCCCGCTGAAAGTAAACCCTCTTCGCACCGGTCCCCCCTATAACCATCAACCTGAAAAAGAGTGTCGTCGCGTGTTTATAAGCCCACCTGCCCTGTCCGTTACGTGGATGAGGACACTTCACACCAGCATAATCGGTCGGCACTAGACAGATAAGATCGTATCGTTTCCACTTTCTGCTTTCTGTTCGGCGTAGTAGTAGTAGGAGTAGAGGAGGTGAGATAGATCCAAAAATAGAGATAAAAAGACGGAAAAAAAAGCGAAAACCAGCTTGCGAGTTTATTTCGAGACGATCGGAACAACCAGGAAAAGAGAATCTCATCAACATGTAATTATGTCCGCCGGGTATAGATGGTGTCCCCTCGCAATTATTCCCCATGGAACACCCTGTTGTTTGGTAGCTGATGTCAAAGCGTGTGTTGCGCCCTTGGTAAATGGCCTCATGAGCGTTGATGCTGTGATGGTGTTGTGGTGTAGGTGGTTATGTCTGGTTTGGTTTGGTTGATTCTTTGGTGAATTAATTAAAGGATAGTGCACTTGGGCTTCTTCTTTTCTGTGGTCGTATCGACGCGGTAGAGTACGGCTCTGTTGTTGTTTTATGTGGGTCAGCTCGTTGCTTTTCGTTTTCGTATCTAACGGGGGAGGGGGGTTCGGGCCGGCTATGGACTTACCTGATGGCCTCGTCGAAAACGGACTTGAGATTCCTTTGGGTGAGAGCAGAGCACTCGAGATACTTCCTCGCGCCGATCTCCTTGGCACAGTTGACACCCATCTCGAATGTTATCGGAGCCATGCGCTTCTGGTTCAGGCTCGCAATGGTATCGGGGTCCTCGCGCAAATCGAGCTTGGTGCCCACCAAGATGATGGGGATGCCGGGGGCGTGATGCTGAATCTCGGGGTGCCACTGTCGGGGAAAAGTCAGCATCTTCTTTGGTCCATACGGGTGGGCCGAGTTACTAACCTTGGACTTGACGTTGTCGAACGACGGAGGGCTGACGAGGGAGAAGCAGATGAGGAAGACGTCGGTCTGGGGGTACGAAAGCGGGCGCAGTCTGTCGTAATCCTCCTGTCCAGCAGTATCCCAGAGACCCAAGCTCACGGGCTTGCCATCGACCATAACACTCGCCGAGTAGTTATCGAATCTATCGCAGCGCGCGTGTCAGTTTCCGGGGCGACGGTGGTTGGTCGTCTTCTTATCGCGGATAAGAGTGTCGAATGGGTTTAACGCACACTGTGGGAATGTATTCGCCGGGGAAGGCATTTGTTGTGTATGAGATGAGAAGACATGTCTGGCAATCGAGGGTTAGTCCTTGCGCGATGCGGGACACGGTGACTCTGAGGGAGGAAGCGGTGGGATGCGAGCTTACCTTTCCTACAGCACCGTCACCAGTGACGACACACTAGAAGCCGAGGATGAAGTGTTAGTATCTCTCTTATAAACATCTTGATGGATTCGCGACTCGGATGGCAGTGATTGCGGTGACGGTTGTGTCGGTGTCGATTGTACGGAGCGGTGGTGGTTTCCCAAAGGAAGTCGACGAACCTTGATCGACTGCACGCCTCCGATAGCAGCCATTGTGGGAATGGCTGGGGATGTTGGTTTGGGGGTGGTGGGATTGGTATTAGGGACTCGTGATTAGGGATCTGGTTATGTCGTCGTTGTAGTCGATGCGAAAGCAGGCAAGCAGTGACGGATCCGAGTGGCAGAAAGTCTTTGGGATTACAGAAAAAAAAAGGGTTGGGTTGGTCGGTGCAATCGGTTGAGGCTGGCAGGTGTGGTGCACTCTTGTGGACTTGTGTGCTTGGTGCCGCAGGTGGTCAAAGTGGTCCTCGTTCAAGAGGCGGGAAGCGGGCGGAGACAGGGAGTAGGCTGGGAAATGGCCCTGGGGCGCGCTTGGACTGGGCGCCCGTTAGAGCGCAGTGGTTGGTGGCCGCTGGCTGGCCGCTGCCATTCGTGCCGTTGTAGCCCCGTCACTGGTCAGTCCCTTCAGGGTTACGGCTATTACTGTATCACGGTCTGGGAAGCAGCTTCTTTGACGCTGGAGTCGCTGCTGTGCGTCTCACCATTGGTCTCTTTTTGTTGACGACTTATCGCAAGTCTGCCTGAGTACTTGGCAAGTGTATCGCGGTAAAAAGAGCAAAGACGTCCCATGGTTCAGTTAGCAGTTGATTCAAGTTCGATTTGGTCTCACAGTGCATCAGATGACGGGGGTCTGATCACCTGTCACTAACATCAATAGCGCAGCTCAAGGTACGAGTCGAGATAACAGCTCAAAGAGACTTGTCCAAACCAAGGGGAATGCGCACTGTCCCTTTCCCAACTGCAAGTGGCGGCGTGGCGGGGGAAGTCGCACTGAACACAACAAGGGCAACCCGTTTCTTAGCCTTTCAGATCCCATCATTCCTTCCAAAGGTGCCGTCACTTTTTCTGTTGACGGCATGACATTCGATTGGGGAGTTCGTTGATGTCTTTAACACCTCGGCGTCAAATGCTTCAAATCACATTCCTAATCTATGAATCACTGTTCAAGATCTCTTTACCAGAAGCAACAAGCCACTGAGTTATGTTCGGGACAGTTGTGGAGGGCCTTCTCTAGCAACAGCGCGCTAACCAATATCCATATCAGGGGCTTTATTGTTTTAAAGTCTTGGCATCCGGAGGATAGGAGAACAGAGGCCCCGGTGACCGAATTCTCCCGTATGAAACTCGAAGAGGGGGAGGAGCTCAATTGTTGGTGATATCATCGGCGTTTTTGTTAATGGATAGCGGCACCGCATGTCGTTGGACATTGCCGACACAAAGGTTCAACTCCTGTCGAGTTGAACATCCTTCTGTCACCACACTCTGGAAACAACAACACTCTCAATAGAGTAATGATCCTGCTTGCTGTCACGGGAACGTCTAACGGCCATTGACAGACGCCCATGGACTAAAAGAAACAGATGGCGGATGGCTGCGTCTGAGATTCGGCTCTTGAAGCAGAATCTGTAACATATTTCCAGTCAGGGCAACCGCCCAGAGGAGAAAGGTCAAGCCATGGAAAGGCGCAAGGCTACGGACATCGTTGTATGGGGGCCCCTGATTCGCTTTTTAGCCCAAGTTCGGTTGTGAATTTGTGACAAACCTAACGCCAGACGGGACAACCACATTAAAATGGCAAATGGCTGGCTTTAAAGAACTGTCTGATATTGACTGACAACAAAGACAAGTTCTCACATGGTTATCGCCATCACTATTGACAGCGGTTGCCATATTCCCCTTATCGGACGGAAGCTTTGGTCCTTTATGGCGGTGTACCTCCGGAAGACCTGGACGTACAGATCACAGACGGGAGCCTTGTACGCAGTGTCCGAAGCGTTGTGACGTAGGTAGGAATTTCCGGAATTAAACGAAGCCGACACTGACAAGCGTCCATCACTCCGCTTTCCCGAGAGTACGGATGGTCCAAGACAAGTTGAGCGCCCGAAAACAAGCGAGACTTTTTGCAGAACGGAAACACAACAACACAACCACGACAAGATCAGCGGGATGTTCTCACTGGTGGAGAATGATCCCAAAGGGAAGGTCCCTGGCGAGCACTCATTCTGGCTCTGGCCCGGGCGTTGACCAAGCGTCCATCGGACACACCCGCCCCACGACGGAAATGTGGGGTAGCTTCAACTCAAGGAAAAGCGGGGCCGAGATCAATCAACGCCGTTCCATTTGCGAAAGTGCGCCCGTTCATCCATTGGCAATCAATCAAGCAACCAAGCAAGCCCAAACGCGTCGTCGCGTCTGTCCTCCGAACTTCGTCATCGGGGTTCACAACACCGACCGGCCACAGCTCCGTCAATCACAAAACACGTAATACCAGAAAGCCCGCACCGCGCATCGCGACAACTCCTAGGCGGGCAGTTTGCGACTTTAGCTTCAGCGCATCCCAAACATCACCACCGCCCTCATTGCATTCATTGCAACACTCCCATTCTTAGTCGACCACTTCAACCACACAGAGCCAGGCCCGGCCAGGCCCCTCCCACCACGGAAAGAATGGCCGACCCAAACAACCCACCAAGCCGAACACCCCTAAAATCCTCCTCCCAAATCCCCGTCCGAACCACACCCGGCGTCCCAACTCTTCCCCGACCAGCTTACACACCCGGCCCCGGCGGCGCTGCCCGAGCATACACCCCCGGCGCCCGCACCCCTCGCGGCCTTTTGATTTCGAACACCCCTTCCAACGCCAACGCCCACGCCAACCTAACCCCTCACGTCCGCGCCGCCTACCGCGCCATTGACTCCCGCCGTGCCGCCATCCTCACACCTCACCACGCGCGCCGACGTTCCTTGCGCGAAGCGCGCGAAACTCCCCGCAATTTCTTGTTACAGCTGGGAAAAGTGCTAGCGCCCAAGAGCGAGAGGATACCTAGTAGTAGTTCTTCGCCTGGGTCGGCGCTTTCTGGTGGTTCTAGAAATAACAATGGACAGGGCACAGAAGAGGGGGATACATCAGAGGAATTAACCTTCGACATATCCACGCGCAGTCGGTACGGAGATGATGACGACGACGAGGAACTGCCTAAGAGGCCTCGACTGAGCCTTGGGTTAGGGGCTCCAGAAGAAGACTGGGAAGATGACGACGATGCAGACCTGCCGCAACCACATCGAAGTGCCGGACTCGAAGATCTGACGGAGAATTTCACGGTGCAGAGTATTGAGCTACCGCGCCGAGTGGATCCGGAAAGGGATGGACATGGTAGTAGGATGAGGGATTCGATGGGAAGGTTGAGTGATTTCCCACAGTTACAACAACAAAGCGACGGGATTGATTCCGGCTTTTTCCCACCGACTGCCGGAGCGTTCGACGACGACGACGACGACGAGTTCGGAAACGCCGAGGATAGAATTCCCGATGAGTTCAGCAGGTTGGACTCGGACGACCCGACCAGAAGACGCGAAACGATTGGTCATCTTGAAGGTGGCGGCGGCATGGGCATGGGCTTACTAGGGAGGGATAGTGATTTCCATATTGAGGTGCCGGTGGGCATGGACGAGAGCACGACGACGACGTTCATGATTGCTTCTCCCACGAGGCAGTTTGAGGTTGAGCAGGGTCAAGCTGCCGAACCGGTGGCGAGGGGCGGTCAGGGAGGAGGTTTTGCCGAGTTGATGGATCGGAGGAGCGACAGTTACGATGACGACGATGGAAACGACATTGGACCGACAACATTTGACGATTATGAGAATAATGACGATGGTATGGACCTAGACAACAACCAAGACGACCAGGACCAGGCAGCAGGCTCAGACGAAGAGATGACGAGGTTATCGGGTTACACACCAACAACTGCGATGAGGGTATCATTATCAGCAGCGGCAGCAAGGGAGAGACTAGGACGCTTCTTTCGGGAAGAAGGTGGTGAAGGACGAGGAGGCTTCTCCAAGATCAAAGCCACCAAGAAGATCTCCAAACACGGCATCGAATACACATCACTGCCCCCAGCCATGGTCAAGCGGTTGGCGCAAACCTTCGCCAAGACGAGCGGCGCAAAGGGCAACATCTCACCGGAAGCGCTCAAGGCCATCATGCAGGCTTCGGACTGGTTCTTTGAGCAGTTGGGAGACGACTTGTCGGCGTACGCGAAGCATGCGCATCGCAAGACTATCGATATGAGTGATATACTCACTTTGATGAAGAGGTATGTTCCATTGATGATTCTTTTTTTTGCTTTGATGATCCCCTGGGTATCCATTTTTATATATCCTGTGTATGTGATGGTGTTCTTTGTACACTTTCTTCTTTTTTCATCTGCTATTGTACACGACGGGCTGACTGACTTACATTTTTTCTTCTTCCCACAGACAACGTCAAACCAACGCCCAGACCACACCGTTCGCTTTGGCGCAACGATACCTTCCTAGAGAGCTCCTCCAGGAATTGAGGATGACACCACCCGTACCGGTCAAGAAGCGCCGCAAGGCTACAGCATCTTCTAGCCGTACCGGGGCTGGAGGCGAGGATGAAGAAGTGACGTGAGAGTTGCTTACGCACTAATACGTGAAAGAAAGCAAAGCCATCATTACCCACCCACTCACAACATCATGTTTACCAGCTCTTGTTCATCTTGACACGCTTGGTAATCTGGTTCGCGGGCTTCTTGACCACGAGCCAGAACATGATGGAGGTGGCAGCAGCGAGACCGTACCTGAATATGCGTTAGTCGGGCATTGATGTGCTCATGATACTAGGGTACGTCAAGGAAGACAACGGAAGGGTCAAGCCTCGTTTTGAGACATACCATGTAAAGATGTACTGCGCATGGTTGTTACGAAGGTTGACCTCAGCGACTCGGCCAATAGGGATGCCACGAGCCTCGTAGTCGTAGACGGTGATGATATCGGGAACTGCGCATAGCATACGTTAGCATCATACCCAGCTAGAATAGCCATTCATACCAGTCATAGGGCCAGGGAAGGCCAGGACCGCCATGTCCATAACTGGTAGAAAACCAAACAGAGAGAATACCCACCAATAGTCTGCTCAATCCACACCGGCTGACTACCCGTCAACTCCGCCATCTGCTTCACATCCGGGAAATAGAACTCGCCAATATCCGGCCTGTTCTCCGGCGTGAACATGTTCTTCTTCCACGGCTCTCTCAACATGCCCTCCACACGAACTTTCTCGCCCGGCTTGACGGAATCCGGTCGGCTCTTCTGGTCCGCAAACTTCTTGCTCACCCACCCCCTGTTGACCAGCACTTTGCTGCCCGGATCATCCCCCCTCTCGAGCGGCGTGACCACCATGTATCCCTGCTCGCCGTCGCGCATGCGCGGGCCGATCAGCATCTCTTGGTCGTGCCGGTAGACGCCCTCGGCGTAGACGCGCCGGTAGTCGAAGTCGGCGATGGCGTCTGGGTCGACGCGCGGAGGGAGAGGGAGCGGTGGCCGGATGATGCGGTCTTCGCACTTGGCGATGAGTTCGGATTTCCATTTCAGGCGGTAGACTTGCCAGGTGCCGAGGAAGAGGGCGGTGATGGGGATGATGGCTGTGCGTAGAAATTGGGTTAGTTGAGTGTTGAGACGAAGCGACCATGTAGTGAGTGTTGGGTGTAGATAGATGGTGGGGATGAAATGTTATGTATAGAACGACATACCAAGAATAATCAACCCCTTGCCATGTCTCTTGCCAGCCCGGACGAGCTCGGGGGGGTTATCGAGGATGGAAGTAAAGTTGGGGTCATCGACGGGTTGTGGCCCCTGTCGGCGCGTGGACGAGGTGGTGAATTGGCGGCGGGGAGTAGAGGTAAACTTGGAGGTAGCCTTATTGTTGAGTCTACCTGTCGTGAATCGCGAGGTTGTTGGTTGTCTTGGGACGATGATCTGAGCTGCTGCCCTCTTCCCTAAGCTCTGCTGCGACGTGCGCAGGAGGCACTGGAAGATGCTCCCGCTGGCCACCATTGTTCGTTCGCGCGATCTTCGGGTCGGTCGTTCGGTCGGTAGCTCCGTCTGTTCGGTAGATCGATCGGCCGTAGAGGTGGGATATGTAGTGGTTGAGAAACTGGTACTAAAAAGCAACCAGCATGTGACAACGAAACAGAAGCTGGGGAAGAAAGATGCGGACGAACTTCGTCATCAATTGCCGGACAGGAAAGTTCTCGGTGGAGCTTCAGCTGTTTTGCTCCGATTAAAGTTCTGGGCGATGGCCCCGCTATGGCTGTGTGGGGCGTTTCCATCCGAACGGGGCGGGACTGGACCGGGGCCGCTACAGTTCCCGAGTGCCCCACCATGATAGAAGGTAGCTTGGCGACAGGGGTCGTGTAAGTGGTTGTGCTGAGTGGGGGTCATCTTGAAGACTTGCTACAATCAACCTTGATGGTCCATAATATCGGATTCAGCAAGCTGTGTGTAACGTAGTAATGTCAGCTTTAGAATGTGTATTCAATATCATTGTTTGTTGAATTATCCACAGGGCCTTGGCTTTACGCTGTTGCTTAGCTACCTCTCTGGATGGTGTAGTGAAGTACATCTATGCAGTCTCGCAATGAGCAGGCAGGTCCGGTCTGGAAAATAAATAAATTCCAATTGCCTATCTTGACATCAACACCAACAACAGCATCGAATGTCCAACAGTATACCATCTCCATATACAGATACCTCTTCGGCTCAACCGACACCCAAGATGTCTTCTTCTCCAGGAGCAGCCAGCTTCAGCACTCTATCGAGCTACGCCTCCTCTGCACCCGATCGTCAAGAGAGCCACGCCGGCAACTTTCCACTTCCCGTAACGGCCACGGCCCCAACTACCACGACTGGAACTACACATCTCTCACCGTCATCAGCAACATCCAACTCAAAATACGTACAAACTCCCTCTTCCGCCAACGCTGCCAACGCTGCCAACGCCAACGCCTCCAACCCACCCAACAACTCCAGCAATTCCATCACCCCGAACCACACCCCCGACGCCCGTGACACCCCCAACCACCACCTCCATCTCCGTCCTCGCACAGCAACCCTCAACTACAAACTCCTCCCCCACCTCGAAACGGGTCTCCACACCAACAGCCTCGACGACCACATCTGTCAGTTACATTACCGAGACACGATCTACAACCATCCCATTCAAGAATTCTTCTCCTCCGTCTCTTCTTCTTCATTTTCTTCCATGTACCACCCCTCCTCCTCCTCCTCCTCCCTCCTCCAACAACAACAACTACGATTACACAGATGAAGAGAAAAGGAGGAGTAAACGAGGAGTGAGAGCCCGAGCTAGGCTGGAGGGACGCATACGAAGTCATGGTCAAAGCGCCCCTAAGGGGCCTGGCGGCGCTGGCGAGGCGGATGAGGTGGGTTAGGGTTGAGAGGGAGGAGGGGAAGGTGTAAATCAACCTTTTGGACTCGGCTTTTTCTTGGGCTGGGGTTTGGGCTGGGGTTTGGGCTGGGCTTGGGATTCTGTTTGGGCGTTTTGGCAAGCAAGGAAGAAAGCGGGAAGAAAGGGGGAAGAAATAAGGATAGAGGGGGAATTGGACAATTAGAACTAGGGCGTGGAACGTGAAAGGAAGGAAGGAAGGAAGGAAGGAGGGAAGGAGGGAAGGAGGGAAGGAGGGAAGGAAGGAAGGAAGGAACACACGAAGGAAGACAAGGAATACGAATCAACGGATGACAACAAACCAAAGAGCATACGTATCACATCGCATCGTCTCGACAAGACAAGCTGGCATTCAGTCAACGGTCCCACGCACGGTGCGGTTAACACGACATCATATGAAGCTTTGGATATCAGCGGTTCCTATTTGGTTATCAGGCTCGCCAGAATGGTTTATTAGACATTATGGTAGAGAGGAGGGATGCGTGGATAGAGCGAAGAGATGAATCGAATTAATCATCGGGTGGGTGGCATACCTAGGTACATACCTTGTCCACATAGTGGAGGTGGAAAGGCATGGTTCAGCGGAAATGGGTTTACTTACCGGCATGGAAAGTAACAACATGCGGATTGTTGTAATAGCTAATGTTTATTGATTACAACTACTACAACAAATGGAAATGGTAATTTGTGAAAGGAACGTACCTAACTAAACAGCTAACTTGTGTCCTCCTATCTTGGTGCTTGACAATCTGGCAGTGGCCCAGTAGCTTCTCTTTCTTGCTATTCCATCAGCTTCCATGCCTTTCCTAACCTTCGCTTCTATCATATCCTACATATCCTACATTATACTACCCCCAAGCAATATTCCTACCTTGCTCCAGCGGGCATAAAGACAGACCACTTAAGGCTATGCCATGCCTTACTTCCTAACCTCACCCTCCTCAACAACCTTGGCATCCTCATAAGCCGGAGGGGGCGCCTCGACATCAGCCTCGGGCTCCTGGGCGTTCAACAAGCCAGCCTTCTCCTCGACAGGAGCCTCGGCTTCGTCCTTGCTGCCATGGTCACGATGACGGTGGCGATGAGCACGCTTGCAACCGGCGCCACCGTTGCGGCGGCACTTGCGACCGCCGGAACCACCGCGGCGGTAGAAGAAGCGGTAGAGAGCGACGATGAGAGTTCCGAAGGCCATGCCGATGCTGTTTGAACATGTTAGTTATCGTCCAGGCGAGAGAAAAAAAAGGGGGGGGGGAAGAGTGGAGAAAACGTACAAGCTAACAGAGACACCAGCGATGATACCAACTAACACGGGCAGCAACACATGGGCAGTGATGCTCTTAAGCAACTGGCCCCAGCTGTGCTCATATCTGTGCATGCCACCATGGTGGTGTCCGTGCCAACCGCGATGTCCCTCCTCAGACTCTTCCTGCGGGGGCACCTCATCGAGTAGGTCCTTGATCTTCTCATCTTCCTCGACCTGTTGCTCCTTCTCAACATCGACAGGAGAAGCAACAATCTCCCAAGTACCATCTTCGGACTCAGTGATGTCGATACGCTCAATATCAATCTCCACGACTGGCATCTTCCGCTCACCATCTTCGGTAGTAACCTCCTCAACGGCAGGAACAGACTGGCCCATACCATGACCACCATGACAACCACCCATCATCTTCTTGCCCCAAGCCTCCTTGCCCTCCTTCACCTTCTCCCTGAACCCTTCCAGCAATCTGCAGATAAAATTATCACATTCCTCCTCCTTTTCTTCGGGAGCAACACCCATAAACGGCACGGAAACACCACTGTCCTCATTAGAAGCAGTGGTAGTCTCGATATTCCCAATCATCAACTTCTGCGTCTTGGAGTCCCGCAATAACTTGATTTCTACGCTGGGAATTCCCGAGACAAAAGCGGTGCCGACTTCGAGGATTTGGAGGTTCAGGTCGATAATCTCCTGCAAAGTAAGCGCGTCGGCGGGGTCGGAAGAAGCCTGGGGTAGAGAGGTGCGAAGGCCAAAACCGAGGTTTTGCGGGAGTGTCTTGGGGTGGCGGTTGCGATGTTTGCGGTTTTTGTGCTTCCTGTTTTTGTGCTTCTTGTTGTCTTCGTGATCGGAATCGTGATCGGAATCGTGATCGGAGTCGTGTTCGTGGTCGGAATTGACCTCGTCCATCTTCTCAACCCACTCCTTGACGTCCTTCACTGGCTTTGGCTGGGGACCAGCACCCTCCAATACCTGTCCAGCCCATAATTCACCCCTCAGAGGATCGGCATTGGGGTATAACTCAAAGCCGTTAACCAAAAGTCTATCGCCAGAGGTGTCCGAGATATGCTCGATCTTGAAGTCCAGCTCCAAATGGTTCGGCTTATCGGTTAGGACCTTGGGGTGGTGGCTGTTGTGGTGGCGGTCTTTGACGAGAACGGGACAGCCGGGGCAGGCAAGTTCAATGAGTTGGTGTCGAGACGCAGAGGCGGTGATGGGGTCGAGCTTGTTGTTGTTGTTGTTGTTGTCGAGAGGGTTGATATCGGATGCGACTTCTTGCGCAAAGGCGATGTCGGTCTCGGAGAGCTCGGGTGGGATGAGGAAGGCGTTGCTAGCAGACAGCAAGGTGGCCGAGACGGCGGCGGCGGCGGTGAGGCGTTTGGGTATCATCGTGATGATTGCGGCGATGATAGTTCAATGATCGGTTGTCGTTGTTGTTGGATGGTAAAGTTCAAAGTATGAGGTCGTGGTTCAGGTGTGTAAGTCGATCCCGAATAAGGGGGAAATAGGTGGGTTCCTGTGGTGTAAGTGCTGCTGGGCGCTAGCTGGGCACTAACACGAGCGACGAGAGACAATGACGCACGCACGTTCGACTAGTATAATAACCCAGTCAACCGACAGTGTTTGATGAAAACAGTCTGAAAGAGCGATGGGGGACAAAAAGACGGCAAGATGTTGTGAAGTTGAAAAGAGAAGATGAAACGAAATGGACAACTTGTCAGCTTTCACTTCCGAATGGATAGGCTGATACGAATGACGGGAGAATGAAGCCCCAGCCCGGTGAATGGAATGGAATCCCCCAGTCCCCCAAACGCTTCCACTTCATGTTTCGCCTCAGCGGCCCGCCAGTGTGAGTGCGCGCGCGGCCTGGACTGCTCTCCTGTGTTAGTGTAATAATAGCCAATCGATAAAAGAACCACCAGTGCCCGGACCACCCGGACAAAGAAGCGGAGCCAATTACGCAAGCGTCAGGTGATCGTCGGCGGCATAGCCACAACGTCGGGTGCTCGAGACGCTCAGGTCGCTCGTGGATTGTTACTCCAAGTTTATATTGGTGCTTTTCTTTTCAGTATTGCTCCGAGGTCTGTATGATAGTCGCCATGGTAGCGAGCAGCAAGAAAACGCAATGATAAGATGTTTATTGTATCACAAGTCTGTAATTATCACGCTCAGAGTAAGAATGCAGATGTTGTGCTGTGTGCCCGCTGTGTATGGGGCTCCATGAGCAAAGAGACTCCATCATGCCCTGAAGCTACAGCATCAAGCCTTCCCAATTCGGACGTTATTCGCAACTTGATTGGACAGACTGGAACACAACTGTCAACCTTAGCACTACTATCAGCTTTTTGTCATTCCTCTTCACTCGTCCTGTCGTCTAGCTCTAGTACTCCTACAAAGTGTTTACTTCATTTACTTTTCGTATCGGAATCCAAACAAAACAAAGCAAAACCGTTCCATTCATTTGTGTCGGTGTCGGCGTGTTTATAAACCAAAGTCTCCCCGTACCTGAAGTCCTCAGGTGCCGCTCGCGCCAATGACCATGCCATGCAGTCCATCCTTCCATCCCATCATACATAAGAGCAAGCAAACCCATAAGGAGGAGGAAGAAAAATGTGTAGAATATGTGTCGTGTACATAATACATGGTTTAAGAAAGGAAATGAAAATGTTGTTGCCAAAAGAAAGAAAAGGAGAAAAAGAAGACACCCAAATATTCAAGCGTTTTTTAATGCTCCGATGAGCCAAAGTGATATATATGCCTCGAATGCGTTCGTGTGTGTCGGAGTAAGGCAAAAACTCCTGCTCTTTTTCTCGACGATAGTGTGTTCATGCCTTGACTGTTACCCAATAACTCCATCTCCATTCCCCATCGTCACTCTTCCCACATATACCGTAACTCCATGCCTCATGGTCATGTCAAACAAAACCACCCCAACATCCCACTTCCAATACCCTCTACAGCCGCCCGTCGTAACCTCAGTCTCGTAGCAGGATGCGACTCACCCCCCACCAGCTTTCCCTCCCCAACATCAACCGTAAAGTCCACAAAGTCGATCGTATTGCCATTCCCCACGGTAACGTTCCGCGCCGTGTCCCGACTGACGGGGTTACTCCCATCGTTCAGGATCGCCGCGCTGACTTGGGAAAACACCTTTTGGATCGCCGTCTGCGCTTCCTCGGCTCTGGCCAGGTCTTCCTCCTGCAGGATGTAGAGGACCGCGACCCTAGCGAAGTCGAGGATCTCTTCGGTGACAAAAAAGGTCTGGCTGGAACCGGGAGCTTGGGAGGCCATGGTCAGAGTGGTCGCGATGGTTCGTGTGGAGCTCGCCGAGCCGGTGCCGGTTGTGGTTATGGTTGTGAAGCCGGTGCCGTCACCGGAACCAGAGCCGGAGCCTGAGCCAGAACCGCTGCCGCTTCCGCTTCCTGAGCCGGAGCCGGAGCCCGAACCACTCCCACTGCCCGAACCGCTACCAGAACCTGACCCAGAGCCGCTTCCACTCCCACTTCCCGCAGTAGCCGTAGCAGTAGCACCAGCCCCTCCATTACCACTACCAGAACCAGCAGTCTCGCCACTCCCTGATCCTCCTCCTCCTCCTGCAGCACCACCACCACTCCCATCCCCATCAGCAGCAGCACTCGTCGTAGCCGCCGGCACTGACGCCACGGGCACTGAGGTAGCCGGCAACGGCGCCTCAAGCGTGATGGTCGTCAACTGTCCAACCAGCACCGAAATCGTCGTAATCGCCACTCCATCCACAATAACATTAGCCGCGTTCGCATTTACATCACCCAAGCCCCCACTCCCATTCCCATTTCCATTCCCATCAGCATCATTAGCAGCATCCAAACTAACCACCTGACTCTGTGCATCGCCTTGTCTGAGTGCTCTGCCGTCAAACGTAACCAGCGCGTTCTGCGCTCCACATGACAGTCCCTCCCGGTTGAACTTGGCTACGATCTCGCTTCCATCGAGAGGGATTGAAAAGTTTTGGTAAGAGTACGTCACCAACCGCGGGATGGCTGCTCCAATAGTGGCTGCGTCCCCGTCCAGTCCGGACCACGTCATGGCGCTGCATCCGGACGTGTCGATGGCGTTGCAGTTGAAGCCCGTGAATCCGTTTCGGCAAATACAGGAGCAGAACCCTTGGGAGACGATGTTCGTCCCGCCGTTTTCGCAGGTCACTTGCTGCTGGCATTGCTGCAGCTGTTGCTGGGCGGAGCCGGCGCCCTTGTGTTTTTGGAGCACTAGGAATTCGAGCGGGATGACCACGGCTGCGACTGTCAGGAGGACGATGGCGGTGAGGAGGAGGATGAAGCCCCAGACGGGCAGGCGGCAGATCCGTCGCCCGGGCTTTTTATGGGAGCCGTTGCTGCCATCGCTGGGCGGTCCGTCGCTGCCGTCGCCGCGGGAGTTGTTGTTGGGTGAGCGGTTGAGAGCTGCTAGAGGCCATGATTGGATTTGGTCTCGAAGACTATCGCGGAAGCGGCGGGGTGGGATTTGCGGGTGAGCGGGAGGTGGGAAGGCGGCGAGCATGTCCGAGAAGCCGGATTGGTGTTTTTCGTTTTCTACTGTTTTGGTTGTTAGCCTTGTTCTCTTCATTTGCAGACGGACGAAGGGTTGGGGGTAATCTTACCAGAGATCTCCTTCTCGGACCCAAACTCATCATACAGCTGCTCCTCGATCCTACTCGCAGGTCTCTTGCCGTTTTCCAAACTCTGTTCCAGCCGAGTCGCTCGCCGTATCAGCTCCGAAAGACTCGTCAAACTTCCCCTGGCCTGGGCTTTGCGGACGGCATCCATGTCGAGATTGGGCGGTCTCCTAATGGCCGAAAACCGACTGTACGTTCGTCCTCCTCCTCCAGGCATCCTCTCGTTCGACGACGAAGTCTGGTCATATGAGCTGGCATTATCATACGCATCCAAAATCGCATCTGTCGTGATGGCGGAACCAATCTGTGGAGTCTTGGCACTTGACGAGCTGGAGTGCTCGATATAACCCGTCCCTGTAGCGAAAGGGTCTCGGTAGGGCGTACCAGGAGTCGTCGGACCGGGACCCGTTCCTTGGTTCTCGCCAGCCCATCCTCCTCCATTCCCAACGCGTGGACTCGTCGCCGCTACCAACGTAGGCTTGGCCCTCTTCCCCACGCTCGCGTTCCTGACAAGTCGGCTGTCCTCGGCATCCTCCTCGTATCCCGGAGGTGCGTTCTCATTATTGTTTCGGTGCATCCCCATGACGTGCTCCTCGTGGTCCGTGGACGGATACTGCGGGCTGAGTCCGGGGGAAACGGTGCCCCAGCTGTCGGGTATTGCCGCGCTGGACGCAAAGGAGGTGTGTGATCTCGATCGTGTTCCTGGGCTTTCCTCGGGGATGGGCGAGACGAAGGAGGCATTTGAGTAGAAGGAGGA